TCCCTCACGTGACTCACGTGACGAGTCCTACCAAGATGCCATATTGCAATAGTTTCTGCAAAATAGGTATTTAATATTAAGAAAACTATTAATAATAAGATTAAGCACTTTAAGACTTAACTTATAGTATATAGTTTTACTTAAGAGTATAGAAAAGACTATATTAAGACGTTTACTTTAATAGTCTAAATAGATATACTTTATATCTTTATAGCTATAGTTATAAAGTGTAATCTATAGTACTCTTAGTTTAATATTAAGAATGCCTTTATAGAATTACGCCTTAAAGAAGCAATCTATATAGCTCTACTATAAGACATTAAAGTAATAACTAGGAAATGCTTAAGACTTCTATAAAGCCTTTATAGTCTAAAATAGATAGGATGAGATTAGAATCTCCTACTATAAAGCTATCTTATCTAGATATATAAGTTTAAATAAAGTCTAGCTAACTTATATCTTTTTATCTACTATATATAAAAGGTATATCTTCTAGTTTATATTAATAATATTACTACTACTATAAAAGAGCAATATAATATTAACTAGTTTTTTAATATGCTTTTATACTAGTTTAATGCTAAGCCTCTAAAGGAGATTTCTAAGATATTAGATATAAGAATTACTTATAACTAAAAGTATAAGACTATCTATCTTAATTAAGAGCACTATCTTAATAAGGTTCTTATAGGTTTTAGAATTACTATAGCAAAATATAAAAGCAAACTAATACTAGCTAATAGCTATAATAATCTTTAGCTAGCAAATAAGAATAATAAAAGAATAGATATAACTTAATATCAGAGGATAATTAGAAGTCTAATATATATAATAATCTTTACTAGACCTGATATAGCATTTATTCTAAGATGCCTAGTAAGGTATATAAGTAATCTAGCAATTTACTATAGAATAGTATTAAAAGAGTTAATAAGATACCTTTAGTTAACTATTAAGTAAAAGCTATACTATAGTTCTAGAGGAGATATAGACCACTTTATAATATTTATAGATACTAATTAAGCAAGTAATAAGTCTAATTAGAAAAGCATTTCTAGGAGAGTTAGAATCTTTTATAGAAGACTATTCTTTTAGATATTAAAGAAGTAAAGATTAGTAGCTAAGTCAAGCTATAAATTAGAGTATATTACTTAAGTAATATATGCTATATAGGGTTAGTAGATAGCATAGATCTTTAGAGACTTAAGAATACTAAAGTATATTAGAAGTAATAGTAAAGCGGTTAATATATATAGAGATAACTAAGACGCCTTAGCTTTAATCTAGAATTCTTACCTTTATAAATAATTAAAGCATATTAATATATACTACTACTATATCTAAGATCTAGTTAAAAAAGAGAAGATAAAGGTCTTATACTTACTAATATTAGAGATGCCTGCAGATAGTTTTACTAAACCCCTTAGTTAAGTTGCATTTAGAGGATTCTTAGAGCAGCTAGGAGTTATAACAGATTAGTAGTTAGTAGTTGCTTTTATTTTAGAAAAGTGGAAAAAGGGAAATAGAAGGAGATGCTATAGTAAGAGCTATAGGAGAGTATTAGAAATACAGCCCTTATAGTATTAGGTGACGCGGCTGCTAGAGGATACGTATAAGGTTATAAGAACCTTATCTTTACCTCTATAGTAGCTTTCCTCCTTTTAAGCTAATATAACCCCTTTAACCCACTTTCCTAACTATATCCCTATCTGGTCTACGTGTCCTTCTAGAGGTAATAATCCTAGGAGGCACATAGTTCTAATAGATATTATATATTTTTTAATAAAAACACATATAAGTGAAATATATAAATAACCTTATTATTTTACTAGCTAACTCTCTTATAAGCTATCCACAATATTCCTCTCATTCACATAGAACGCTCTGATAACTCCAGCCTTCGCTTCATCATAATCGATCTTCTCTAGAGTTTCCTGTAGCACTTCCCGCCTCTCCACCAAAATCCGCGCAACATCAGCCCACTCAAGTATATCCCTTTCCTCACCAGCCCACAGCCCACGACCAGCCGCGACATCAACAGCACTCAATCTCGTCCCCTGCTTCCGCACCACGCCATCCACAACCACCATCTCGATATCCCCCGGACTACTGTGCAGCACCACGGCCGCAACAGCGTCATGCTGCGCACCACAAACCATACTGGGAGAGCTCGCATCAAACACGACAAGATCAGCCAGTTTGCCCACAGCAAGCGAGCCGATTTGATCGTCCATGCCAATCGCCCTCGCACCATTAATCGTGCCGAGGTTGAACGCCTCTTCGACGGTCTTGTACACCTTAGCGGGCACTTTGCTCTGGGTCAGAAACGGCTGGTTGTATGTACCACGCGCGCTTTGTAGCAGGAGCCGCATTTCGCCGGGGATGGAAGCGGTGTTGTTGGAGTGGCAGTCTATGCCAAGCGAGCAGTGGGACTGGATACCTAGTTTTGATTGGAACGCGACGGGCTCGCCGTGGCCCATCTGCAGCTCTGTGGATGGCGTGACCGATACGTGGCTGTTGGTGTTTAAAAGCAAGGCTGCTTCGTCGGGATCCATGTTAGAGCCGTGGGAGAAGAGAATCGAGGAATCGAGGAGGCCGTGCGAATGAAGGGTTTCGATGGCTTTCAGTTGTGCTTGGGCTGATCAGTATGCCGTTTGGTTTTTGGGGGTGAAAAGCGTGAGTGACTTACAAGGGACTGCGGCGCGGACATAGTGTGTTGTGATTATTTTGACGCCAGCTGCTTTTGCTTTAGAGAAGAGATTCATGAGGACTTCTTTAGGAAGGTAAGTACCATCGAATGCGAGCCCAAGCTGTACTCGGCCGTTTCCGAATGGAGATTTCAAACCAAGCTCTTCAAGTGTTTTGAGGACCCATTCGGCGAGCAGGTTTTGACCCAGGGTAAAGGGTTTCCAATTCTCAACTGGGGCGATGGGGCAGTATCCGAAGATGGATCTGATTCCTGAAGAGACGGTTGCGGCGATTGCTGCTTTGCCTAGGGGGGAAACGTGAGTTGGTATATTTTTTGAATCATGTCTTACTTACTATGGTCAGCGGATATATTGACAGATGCATGATCAACCACGGTTGTAGTTCCAACATCCAGGCACTCTAAAGCACCGCCCAGCTCTCCCCAGAAAATATCTTTCGGGCTGTGCACAGAAGCGGCAAAGTTTCCTATAGGCTGGTTAAATTACTGCTCTTCATATCAATAGAGTGTTGCTCACCAGGACCAAAATATTCGACCAACGTGTGATTCGCATGACGTCCCTTGAGCAGGGTCTGCCAAACGTGGTGATGTGTATCTATGAAGCCGGGAGATATAATTTTGTCGGTACAATCGACAACCTGAGTCCCCGGAAAAGGACTTAAGCCGGATTCGATCTTCTTGATAAGATTTCCTTCAATCAGGAGATCTGCTTTGGCGGCATGCACGTGATCGTGTTTATCATGAGTTAAGACTGTGCCGCCTTGAAGGAGGATTGAAGCTACCATATTGAGAGAAGTTGAAATGTATAATAAAAGTGATGTCAGATATCTGGTTGCAGATTCAATTCAACTGGATGGTCTTCTACATATATATAACCCCGCTTCGGGTCCAATGATAATATCAGACACGAGTTAAGACCGAAAGGCCGAAAGAAAAAGACACAACTATTAACTAGCCCATAGAACGAACCATGGTGGTCATGATACCAGGCACAAATGCGAGCCTGTTATGGATGGCCGAACCCCCTATCGTACTTGCAGCTAATAAGCTAAAGGCATGTGAAAAGCCAAGAGAAGGTATTTGAATATAGTAAGGAAACCGGCCGAACAGCACTTGCTTCAACAGTTCTCACCGGCATTTAGAGTTAACTCCTCTCACTGTTATATAGAACTCGGGGGATGACAAGTCGTAATATTGCACCGGTTAAAGCGGGGAAGCTCCACAGGTGGACCTACCAGAATATTTCCGGAGTAAACTCATATTTGATAGTAGTGATACTTCTCAATTGCTTGAAATAGATGGCGTAGAATATGAGTATACTTGACCTTTTCGGAGGTTGCGAATGAAGTGAAGTGAAGGTGAGAGAATGTTTCACAACCCCGGATTTTATTCGGCCAAGTCCCCACGTCATAAACGTTACCTCCCCTCCTCACCACCCACCACAACATTTATTCACCTCCCAAACCCAAGCTTCTCAACGATGGCCTCCTGTTTTCACCCTTTAGTCCCTTGATATTGCATAACAACAATGGCCTCTATAGCTGCAAAAGATAACGAATCACCTACCCAACCTCAATCCAAAACCCACATAAATACGCTTACTCGCCGACCCCTCCTCATCCACCTCAACGCCGACACAACCTGGCTGCTATCACTCCCAATACCTCCTTCTCAACCCAGCATACGTCTCTATAACCACATCCTCATCGATCCCTGGCTGCGCGGCGGACAATCAGATGTTGCGAGGTTCTTCAGCCGGCAATGGCATGCCACGCCCAGCGCATGTCAGTCCATCGACGATATAGAGAGCATCATACAAGCCATTGAAGCAGCAGCTGCAGAGGACCCACCAGGACTTGTTGATGGAGAGTTGCTATCTACAAGGCAGGATTCCCATGCCCTGGACAAGAGTATGGATTCTATCGATGCAGTGATTGTGAGCCATGAGTTCACGGATCATATGCACAAAGACACATTGATGGAGATACCTCCCCAGGTACCCATCTTCGCGAGCACGAAAGCTGCCGATATAATAAGGAGCTGGAAGCGTTTTCATACAGTGTTGGAGATACCCCGTTTCGAGGGAGACTGGCGGAAGTCGTCGGTCAGCCCATTGCCAGAGTGGTTGGGCATTTCAAGAGTCGCGTATGCTGGGGCCGATATGCTATATTACCATTCAGCGGTTATGATTGCATTTTCAAGCGGCGGTCAAGAGGGGGAAGCTGTGATCTATACCCCGCATGGCATATCGCCGGACGATGTGACTCCTGTTGCGGAAGCGAAACCAAAGCTTCGGACGTTGGCGTTGTTGCATGGTTTGCAGGATATCAAGTTGGGAGCACAGCTGAATATGGGAGCGCATAATGGGTTGAAGGTTCAGAGGTTGCTGCGGGCGGGACATTGGATTGGGACGCATGATGAGGTTAAAAATGGGGGTGGGATAGTGAGTTGGTTCTTGAATCGGAAGATGATATCGCTGCAAGAGGCGATCGAGAGAGACAAGATTGAGAGAGAGGCTGACGGAAGAGGTAGTAAAGGGACCAAATTTGTTAGTCTTGCTGACCTAAGGTCTAGGGAGGTGGAGAACGGACAGCTTGTGATATTAGAATAATCACTACCTAGGTTAAGCTATCTTTAGTGGACCTTCTTCTATTTGATACGGTTTTATCTCCGCAGCAGTCTTAGCGCCACCTCGCGGTTGGCCATCGCACTTAGACATCTTTCTGGATGACCTCAAATCCAACATACAACTTCGTCTTCAGTTGCAACCGCGCCACACCAAGCGCGTCTTTCTTCCATTGCCTCGGCCTCCACCTCTGCCAGCAGCGGCGGCGCCGTCTATCGGGGATATGGCGACCCAGCTAGCTCTCCTTACACAACTGGATTTGACGCAATCGAAGATTGGATATAAGAGCATTTCATTCTCTACAATATTAATCCATGGTATCGATGAAGTAGTAACACCCCTATTTCACCTCACTATTATATCTCTGTGTCATGGTGTTCTCCTGCAGCTGCTTCTCGAATTGCATAGTCATCTCACAAACATCCTTCAAATGCTTGTAATTGATTTTCCCATTTCCCTTCTTCTTTCTAGTATCGTTGCGTGCCGAAGCCAATGCTCCCGAGACGATATTCCGGATCTGTCTTCCATTCAAGCCGTACTGGTAGCCGTAGTTGTTGATGAAGTCGTCAATCTTCTCACGGTCATCAATCAAGTGCGGCTCTAGCTGGTCCAAGGAAAATGAGAAGATCTTGCACATCTGTGCCTCTGTTAAATCGGTATACCGAATGGCCAAATGGATACGCGAGATGACGGCCACATCGATGGATTTGATTCGATTGGTTGTGAGGATGATTCCTTTGTAATATTCCAATACTCGAAGCATGACAGAAACAAGGGCGTTCCTCCCAGCGCTCGAAGACGTACCGCGTGTCTCGAGGAACACATCAGCTTCGTCCACCAGCAGGATAGCTTCCCATTTGCTGGCGAGGCTGAACAGCTTCTCCAGGTTCCGTTCTGCGCGAGATGCGTTTAGACCAATCTCTGCCATGCTTACAATAAAGAGTGGGCGTCCGGTAAACGTGGCGATTGTCTCTGCCGTGAGACTCTTGCCAACACCAGGTGGGCCATGAAGGAGGAGGACTAGTCCTTTCCCCTTTCCTACAATATCATTAACTCGCGGCTCTTGCCCGAGCTGGGCACTGGTTTCGTGTGAATCAACCAAGGCCTCTATCATATCCTTGTATTTCGGCTCGAGCTGTAAATCCTCAGTGAGTGGTTTGGGATTTTCCCTTTGGCTTGTTGCGTTTTATCCACGGCAAACTGTCCCCACAGTTTCTCCTTGGTCGCATATCCGAGAATCCTGGGTGGAAATAGTTGATGGGTGTCGTCTTTCAAAGCTTTCAACAAGTCGAACTTTATTGGAGATCCATCTGATTCTCGGTGGTCTTCGTTTATGAAATGTTCCTCCCACTCGCCAAGTACGTGACTTCCACTACCTGTTTAGCTATCAGATGGTGTCTACAGCAACGTTATCTTCGACAACTTACCATATTGTAGGAATGCAGCAGCGTCGCAGATAAAGTTCCCGTCAATCTATTACTGTCAGCCTTTTCCGGACTCCAGTCGAAATACATACTGGGACGACTTTCGGGCTGAATTTGTCTTTGCCCAGTAATTTCTCCTCGTCGGTCCGGTTTGCCCCGGCACCGCCTTCGTTGTCCTGCTTGATACATTAGTATCCAAACACCTAGCCCAATGGTTGCAACCTACTTCATCCTCGTCAGAAGCTATCTTTTTTCTCCGATCGCCGTAATCATCCCCCTTGTAAGTAAACATTTGCGCAGCTCCAGGCTTAGCTAAAAGGGCTCTGACATAGTTCTCACTGCGCTCCTTGACCTTTGCGCATATTTCCTCTTTATTAGGATCAAATTCAAGTGGATAGTACACCAATTCGTTGATGGGCTTGGTCCCTCGAAACCTTTCAAATTTCAATGGATAGTAAACTCGAATCATCTTCTTCCCATTCCAGTCCCAGCACCAAGCCCACATGTCCAAGGTAGATTTGACCGGATTTGAGAACGGAATGGGCGAGTTCAACACTTCCAAAATCTGGGGCGTGTTGAAGCACGGCCTGCTTGTTTATCATTTCCTCGGCCCCCAAGTGACCAGGCTGAATAGGGTAGGTGTTCCGAAAAGAATATTAATAGAGACGAGAAGTTAAATTTTGGTGGCTGCCCAATTTAGGCTATTATAGCTCATGGTGTGCCATTCTGGGCGCACGAGGTAGTAGTATGTCAGCAGTGCTTACATCTTGCACGGTTTCCAATCTTGTCTCATTGCCTACCTCCATTCCAGCACGATGCGTATAACTGGAGCGAAAGCTTTCATAGTTTGCATAGCAAAGTATGCTTGCTTCTTTTTCATAGCCGCAGTTCGTTGTGGACAATCTTGAACTATAACCATCGGAATAAATTGTCTTTGTGATGGATGTGCAGCGACCTGTCTGGTTTAGAGAGAATGAGGCTAAAGGAGTAAAGAGGTAAGTGATAACCGAATGAGATCTGCTTAGGCTACCTTAGCCTACCTACTGTCATGAAACAGGCACTGGAGTGGTAACGAGATGGTTGTTTGGGGGCGATCGCGAGGGATGAGATATCGAGAACGGGTTCTTCGGCGCGGGTTTTGGGTTTTGCTTTGGGTTTGGAGGATTTTCAGTCGAGCTTTGCTATTTCAGGAGTAGAGCCCCATTCCGTTTGAGATGGTGTGGTAGAAGGTAGAGTGAAAGGACGCGACAGTCTTTCGATTGTGTATGATTGTCTGTCTTTTGGATGCTAGCAGGATTTTGTAATCAGGCTCTGTGTCGGAAGAGATGATTTTCAATCTGCTTCGATTTCTTCTGCTGACCAGAGGGGCCCCTTCTTTTGCTTCAATAATGTCTGTGGTTTTCGCCGCATGATCGACCAGAAGTTGCTCATAGCCATTCTCGTGCTATCAAAGTGCTCTAGCTTTGCTTGCTTATTAGTAGGATGATTGTCGAACGTTTTGGTGAAACGAAGAGGTAACTGCGAGGCTGCATGATCCCCCGGTACTCTATATTCCTCCTCCAAGACCCTCTCGATTTGGTGCCGAAAGATACTTGGGCGTCCCAACTTCCTGATTTCTTCTGGTGAGAGAGATTCGAGTCCTTCGAGAAGCTTCGGCGTTGGCCTATGGAGATGCACGAGAGAGTACAGCTCGTGAAGTGCGGCATAGTCACTGTATCGATCGTAAAGCTCTGGGTACGTCGCGCAGCATCCTTGGGTGTGGTGTTTGGTAAGTGATCTTCGAGGAAAGTCCATCTGAAAATCATGTCATAGCTTGGAGCTTTCTTGCAACCGAAGTCTTCTGGTAATATGTGGAGGATGTAGAATAGGGGATCTTGCCGCATAAGGTTTCTACTATACCCTCGATTGACACCTAAAAGCCTGGTAGTTAGCATTTTTGAGAAACGGATTTCCGGATTCGACTACACAAACAGAAGAAACCCCGAAATGAAAGCCTGAGAATAAAACCCCAGCCTACTTGGTCAGGATCCGAATGATCGAATTTGAAATAATCTTTGAAGCCCGGCCGCCATGCCAAAAGTCCGGGTAATGGCCTTGCCCAGTTCCGTAGTTGGAATTCTAGTACAAGCTCAAGCTCCTGAAGGACTTCTTCATACTTTTGTGGCAATTGTTGTCCAGGATAAATGTTGTCTCGGAATCGAGTTTGAATGACTCTTAAGTTCTCGATGGCCTCGACAATCCATGACCAAGACCAATATGATCAAATGTCAGTGTATAAGCGGGACTGGGGTGATAATTGACCACGGCGTCAAGAGCATTGTCTACGTGGTCTTAATAACAAGTACCATAATACAAAATCTTGTGTTGCTTCAACTTGGTTTCCAATATTCAATAACAGGCCGAGGGTAGTTGCTGGAGTTGACCAATGGCATCAAAACAACCGCGTATTAGGTTGGCACTTGTTGTTAGCCGACCACTGATATCCCGAAAACTGTGAGACAACCAACATTTAGCTGGCCGACTAACGAATTCAATAATTTGTTCCGGTCTGGCCATTTAGGTCAGCGATTCGCGTTGGTTGTGTTGATTCTTAATCCAATATCACTATTTGCGGTGCGTTATGCCCGGACAGACAAAACTAGACCGTACAGGTTGCTGTGACTTCAGATGAGTCTTCTATCACGGCACCATTTACGTACTGAGTTTCGGATTGGGTTTTGAGGGGTGTAAGATAAGGACACCCGGCCTAAGGAGAAAGGGAGAGGGAGAAACAGTTGGTATTTTTGGCGCCGAGTTTAAAACTGTTGCTAACGATTTTTGGCTTATAGATACCTGACGAGCATTTTGCATATTGTTTGCGACTCTCTAATCTGTTCAAAATCATTAGGGACTTAAGACTGAGCAGCAAGAATTTGATACTGGTAAAAACTACAGGTTAGGCCAAGTCCATATCAAGTGTAAATAGCAAGTGATCGATGTTGGTTCTACCTGGCCTAGTCAAGCCTCCTTGAGATAACCGCCCAATCCAACAGCTCATTATGGTTTTGAGACAATCTGAATTGTTGGAAGCCCAAACTAAATCCTCTCAAAGCCGCTGACCGTTTAGTCTCGTTTCAGAAGGCAGTCACTCCTCTAGAACCATTAGTTCTAGCCACCTACTACAAGACTCATAACATGCTATGGGTCTTATACACTGGTCCTATGCACCCAGCGACTCGCTCACATCAATAGCAGCGCTTATTTCTTGTTAAACGAGGCCTTGAATTTAGTATAAAGAGAGGTGTCAAGTCCTTCGATTTCAACGCATCTCCAGCAACATCCGACACTTTCTTACTGTCCAGTACACTTCTACTATCCTTCTATTCATTCCATCAAGATTTTCCCAACTTCACCGATACTCAACCTCAACCTTGTCGGGCTTTCCAGTTGTACCCTCCCTGACGCCAAATTCTCCAATACAATATAATAATCCCTGGGCTTCTCTTTCGCTTCGAAATACGCACGAAACGCTACGTCCTGTCTACAACATTCTTATTATCCCAGCTAGACTGCAACGGACGATATTTTGGTTCACCTATCTATTCTATCTGATACTAAGTTACGCTACTACGATATCCACACCACCAAAATGCCTGGAATGCCAGAACACTGCACTGAATGTGGGGAACCCAGATCCAAAGAGCATACAAGCAAGGAGGTTGTGGAATCCTGTTACTGTAGAAGGGTGTGCACCGGATGTGGGGGTAGCGGTGGAAATGTTTATGACCGCAGAGGGGGTTGTCTTTCTTGTGATGGAAGCGGCTGGATCACCACTCGAAATTGCAGGTATTGCCATGGCACAGGTCGTGTGACTAGAACGGTACTTTGTGGTGGTGATCGGTATGGTAATGCTCATTTCTACCGTCTCCGATAGGGGGTTTGTATGTGCATGCTGAAGTACCATTGCGGTTTAAAGCAGAAATGATGGATATTGTTGGTCTCTGGGACGCGGCTGGCCGCAAAGTTTGATTTGTCGTAGCTTCCAATTTGTTTTGTTTGGTTTTAGGAGTTTAATGTTCGTAGCTCTGTAGCGCATTATCATACTACTTACCCTCGTTATTGAGACATATTCCTGCCCTTGGGGCAATTTCCATCTATATGAAAACTTGAACGTACTTTATATGTATCGATTATGCACATTGTTTCTGTCAACGAGGGCTGGTATAGTTAGCAAGCTATTTGTGGTTTGTTGTATGAGTTATATTGTCTTGCCTGTCTAGCTAGGAAAGCTACGTACAGGCCTTGTATGCTGGATGCCTAGTTGCGTGGCGCTAAGCTAGTGTGACTGCCATATGACTTATATATCCAGACAAAATTGCAACATCAAAAAAACAGGGCTGATGAAGAAATCCGAGACCACGGCCATTGGCCGTTTTCTTCTAGGGACTCGTAGGGAGCAACCGAGAATTCAACGCCAACCTCAGCAAATGACTGCAGAAAAGTATCGATGAAGACCTGAATATCTCGTTGATAGTCATCCCCTATCGAAGGATATTCCGTACTTCTACTGAAGAAGCTCGAAAAGTAAGGAGACGTTAGTCTAACGGCTTTAAGCTTGGATAAAACCGTGTAGGATACAAGATGAAGATGCTGCATAACTTTTATCAGAAAGTCGAGCGGACTAGATTCATCAGGAAAGTCGGGATAAAATCTTTCCCATTCAGAAGTACCCCAATAGTCAACTAAATGCAAGCTGATTAGAGAAGGTGGGAGCAGTGACTCGACATCCAGTGGGAAAGGGTTGGTTTGGCCAAACAACCAAAGAGTTTCGGTTGTAAGGTGATTCAACGCTGTCATCTGACCTAGAGTTGGGAATAAGAGAGATGGAAAGTCGGACCGTTCCCATGAACATCCTGGTGTCGTGGTCAGATGTAAAACTTCGAGGGTCCTTTTAAGTTTCGAGAGTCCTGTGCAGATATCCCTGTCCGTTTGCCAAGATCTGTCTGGCGATAGATTATTTGATCCATTACCCCATTCGGCATAAAAACGTCTGAGATTGGGAAATGCAGACCCAATAACGGGCAAGCTCGACTGTGGATAACAGGCGCGACGAAGAATCAACTCCTTTGCATTTCTGTGGACCAACTCCGGTTTCACTTGATCTGATATGTAGCGATCGGCAAGCATTAATCTCCAGTGGTTCATTCCCTTGATTTCGATACGTTCGAGACGCGGGCAGAACTCAAGGACCAGCCGAAGAACCAGCGTAGGAGGATTAATTTGCGTATTTTGCTCCGAATGAGCCTCAAATGTAATCGTTCGAAGTGATTGGAGGGCGCGAACTGATGAGGTTGGAAGATCAATGGTATCAATTGACTCATGTTCCCCATACATCCATTGAGCGGGAGCTAGCAATCTTTCAATGCCGAACAGTTCTGGACATTCAGGATACCACCCACCCGCAAGCACTCCAGGAGAGACACAGCCAAGAATGGTAAAGAGAGATTCAAGCTGCAAAGTCATTCCTAGAATCGCTCCAAATATTTGGAAATGCCGAAAGGTCAGGGGATTGCTAGGATCAAGATTCAAACGACGAATAATAGCTACGTCGTCAGCAAAAGCTGGCGGCCAATCAATTCCACTCCAACACTGTGAGGCTACTCGATCCATCTCTTCGTCCTCAATTGCTTCGCCTAGTTGCGTTTCACTTTGCACAAGAGCTCCCAGGCCAGACAGAACGCCCACCCACACCAAGGAGGACACCAGCGGTCGTAGATGCCGTGCGCTTAATAGGGTGCGGAACAAGCAAAGTAGGTCTTTTCGACTTCTCAAAACAACAACTTTGTAGAGAAAGCTTGTTGCTATAGCGTTGAAATTGCGAGAAACTTGACAGAGGTTGGAAAGGGCAGAGCGCGACTCGAGAAAAGCACGATCCAGTTGCGGTGCGTCGCCCCATGATTCAAGACTCGTGACTCTAACCCCAGCGGTTGGCAATAGAAAGTTCATAATTTTCAGTTGCAGTTCCCGAGGAAGTAGAAGTGGACTTGCTGTAGGACGGCTGGCGCCGTGGATCGAGGTACTGGTCGCCATATTTAATGTGGTTCGAATTCAGGATGTCGACTTGCAAAGAGATCCTCGAGTACCCCTTGGCAGTCTCTGAAAGCGCTCTCTGGAGAAGCAATTCATTCGATACTGCCTAAAGTAATCAAGAACTCAAGGAGTCAAGGAGCCAAAAGCAGTGAAAAGAAAGGTGAGAAAGTGAAAATCAGACGTTGCGAAAAGGCGGGGTTTGTTGGAATTTTAAGCGAGCCAATGGAACAACTACATCTAAAGTTGGCCAAAAGTATCTGATAGTAGCATAAAGGCATCTAGTTTTTTGTCTCTCTTTAATATTAAATAATAAGCAATGAAATTAAAAGCTGCAGCGTATGCTTTAGTAGAATTGCAATCATATAGATGTCTAGCGTCTTAGAATAATACGGCGACTAAAGGCTTAATATCATAGAGTAAATATAAAGTATATATAGAGTAATATTGAGACCCAGGTTGTCCAGTCTCAACAGACCATCGAACAGCTTGAAGCACAGGCAACCAGCTCTAACGAGAAATTGAAAAAGCTCCAGGATCATGCCAAGAGAATGGAAGATACAAATGACTGGCTACGAATGACATTGGAGGACCAGAATAAGAAGTTTGAGAGATACAAAAAAAGACGTCGAGCGTACGTACAGGATCCACCATAATCAATGCTACTTTGTATTAATCAGCTAACTCTTCCACAGCAAGATCACAACAAGAAGATGAGCAACAACTGAAAAGGCTACAAGAAAACCTTTATGTAAGTCTCAGGCTTCCTTTCATCCCCAATCAAATATTCACATACGCTCCAAAAGGTAAGGTTCCCATCCGCAGAAACAAACGTCGAGAAGACCAAACACCATCTCATACAAGTCTTCCCAAACTACCACGCTATACACCCCACCTGCCGGAAACAGCTTATATGCAAATGAGCCGCAACCTTCTCCAAAAAGTTCCATCCTATCAAGACTGGATCTCGTCCACCGAATCAAGCCTGCTCTTTCTCAGCGGTCGGACCGCAATTGAAGGCCGTCACTATCGTGGTTGGCGCTACTGCTGGCTCTCACCTGCCTCCATCTACATCGCTGAAGACCTCGCCTGCTCGCAAGACAATAACCACATCATCGCCTTCTTCTCCTGCCACACCGAACTCGAAAGTAGGACTATATCCACAAACCACATCATCTCGTCCATCGTCCTCCAGATCCTGCAGCGATACCCGCACGTCCTGCGCGAAAAAGCAGTGCAATTTCATAGCGCAGCCCTGAGCGGCGCAATGATGGAGCTGCTTAGCGAGGTTCTCACGTTTGTAAAAGAGCTCGGAACGACATATATCGTGCTCGATAGGCTAGACCAGTGCGAAGGAAAGTTTAATGTGCTGATGTATAAGTTTGTGCGCTTGGTGGGGGACTCGGGCTGTGATGTCAAGATTGCGGTTATTGCGGAGACGTCCATTGGTGGTGGGGAGTGGCATCCAGAGTATCTGCCCGAGGGTGAGTATAGACTGGATAATGTATTTAAGCGCCAAGCTTGGAATCAGGCGAGGTTGACGACTTTGGAGATGAATAGGGGACAGAGCTTTGACGTGGACCAGTGAAAGCTCAACGTTGACACTGATCGAGGAGACGACATAAGGTTAAGAATACTAGGGTATATAAAAGATTTCTCAAAGCTGGAGTCTGAGCTAAGCACCCAGATATACATATTCAAACATCGAAGTATTACATGAGCCAAACTCTTAATACTTGATTCGAACTGCTAGCAGGACCAACACTAGGGTTCGTCTTTACGGCCCCGGATTTCGGGCCCAGTATGCAGTCGCTACCCCTGGCCTACACTTGGCAACACTCCGTAGTAAGGGTGGGTCAAAAACAGGCTACAAAAAATCTAGGAAAGATACACAAGCAATATGGCTGCTAAAATACAAGGATATCTAATCAAAGAGAACAATCTGAAGTAAATCTAGGATTCTCTCAATTTCCGAAGTATCGATCTAAGGAAACCCCCAAGCAATTTTAGGGAATGGACTAGAATTGGAAACAGAAACCTACATAATCATTACCTAGCCGAAGACATACAATCAGATTTTATAAGAATAGCCGCTGTCCGAGACTTTATACAGTACGAATAAAACAGCAAAGTCTAAGTCGTAGTATAGAATAAAGTTGTCTATAGTTACTTGATACGGTAAAACCCCTTGCTACCAGCATCTTAAACTTTTGCAAAAAGGCCAAGATTTGATAAGTATGTAAACTACTTGCAAATTTCCCTCTCAAATAACGTAAATCAAAGGCAAAGGTCCTCGAACACTAACCATGCATTGAGATACGCCACATACTCATCTCCATCTACTCTCCACCAACCCCGCTGCTCGAAAACACATTTTCAAGCCAATCATAAAAAAGATGATTAGCAAACGAGAAAGCCCCTACGTGGCAATGCGGATTCGCAGCATCCTCAGCCGTCAACACAAGATGCGTAGCCCTATCTCCCAATGCCGCGGCCACCAATGCCGGCTGACCTTGGAAGAAGATATCATCTGTCGCCTCGCCCACCAGAACCGGGCACTCGACACGGTCTACCACGCCTTCCAAGGTCATCAGCTTGGTCATCTTGATGAACTCCGTCATACTTCCAGTGGCGAAGCTCCATAGGCCATGCTCAATCGCCCAACGCATTGTTGTTGGGAGCTTGTCGCTCGCGAGAAAATCGTTCATCAAGCTATCGACCTCGCTGCTGTTCCCAGCAGTGTAGGCAGCTCGCACAGCGGGGGGGAGCATGTTAAGGATAGCTGGGGAGAAGTCATAGACTCCGTCAATAGCTAGGGTGGCAGCGAGGCGGTGCTCGAAAGCAGCGGCACGCACGCAGAGATAGCCGCCTAACGACCATCCGATCAGGGCTAGGTGTGTCGAGTCGACATCGGGCCGGGCAACGAGATGATCAACGACAGGTGACACGACTTTCTCCCACGCATGCGTGAAACCTACATTTTGATGTCGGCGTACTGAGCCCTGGCCTGGTCCTTCGTATGTCATGACATTGTAACCGCGCTCGAGAGCCGCGAAGCCAAACGCGTGGAATACCTCTTCCTGGCCGCTGTCGTAACCGGTGCTGACGATGATGGTGGGTCTAGGTTTGGGCGTGGCTTCAGGTGAACCGGCGCGGTAGAAAATCGTGGGAATGTCGAATCCATCGCCCTTGAGAAGGAGGCGCTCTCCGGGAATAGGGAGTAATGCGATAGCTTTGTCAAAGTTGACCAACTGCTCATCCCATATTCCATTAATGCGTGGGTCATTGGGAGAACCGTCGAGGTAGAAGCCTGCGTTACGGAAATAGGCCGCAGCCCGGAAGTAGGCATCGCGAGCCGAGATGGGATTCTTGGTGGCATCAATTGCATTTGCCTGGCTACTGACACGGACGGCAAGCGTGTGGAAGACATCGTAGAAATTCTCCAAGTTTCCTGGCTCAATCAAAGAAGCAGCCCGAAGCACTTCGCCAATATCAGCGCCAGAATAGCGGGTATGTGATAGAGTGCGAAGGATCTCATAGTTGAAGCTTTCATCCGAGCTTAGTTGAATAGTATAGGCCATCTTGAGTCTTTGAGTAGGGTAGATATGTTGACTTTTGTAGAGGTAAAAGACAGTGGCTTGGGAGATCAACATGACTGTAGCTGCGACGTATATTTATACAAAAAGGGCGATGGGTACCAGAATAATATTGCTCGACATACGAAGGGCAGGCGAGTAATGATGCCAAATTCGGACAGTTCCTAAACCTACAACGGCGGCCTGATCCTCTTTCCTCGAGACGCGGGGTGTGGGGCGAGTAATGTTCCCATATTCGATTAGCTCTGAAACCCCTTGATGACATTAACATGGGCTTTACGGCCTTACTGTACAGTAATCTGTTCGCATAGTGCTAATGCTGACAAACGCCAAAATCCCTCCCATACGCGAAAGAAACTTGGCCAATACGCAAGCCGAAGTCGACAGCGTATCATGCTTCCTGAATAAAATAAGAGAAGGAAGATCGGCGATTTCCCCCTCTATTCCCCAACTTCTTGCATCCATTCAGTACTGTGCTTCCGTAACCCTTAATAGGAGAGAATTTGTTACCTGGAACAAACATCATAAACCATCGCGTAACCATGGTCGAAATCCCAGGAGGATCCAAGGGTTGCCACACGTGCTTGGTGCGGCGAAAAGCAGTCAGTCCATCAAGCAATCTCAATCATATTTTTATAGAAGGTTAAACAACGTGTGCTAGTGCGGTCGTCAGCGTCCCGTCTGCGCCCAATGCCAGAGGCTTGGCCACAAATGTGCATGGTACAAACCCCAGAAAACATTCGTCAACACCACAGCCGGCACGGCTCTCGGCGGTAGGCATAAGCAGAATCATTTGCCGTTACAAGTATCTGCCATTCATGAACCGTTTTCTCGCGAGTCCTTCCACCTGTCGACGATTCAGACCCATTGTCTTGATCATTTCTGCGGTCTCTATCTGCCAAGAGGCCACCCCAGTTCGATCGAGATTCCTCTTTGCTCCACGGCAAGTTGGATGACAATAGCCCGCGCTGCGGCAGCAGGCGGTGATCATGATTCCATAAAGCTCGCCGTGTTATCAAACTCACTCTGCATGTTTGGCGTCCAACATGGAGATGCGACCATGCTTGGAGAAGGGCGCAAGCTTTACGGCCGGGCTCTGCTGCAGTTGGTGAAAGGGTTACGGAATATGGGCGAGAAAAGCAGGCCGAGTCTCATTCTGAATGCCAGACTACTCAGCCTCTTTGAGGTATGCGAGACCTTGAGCGTTTCTATTTAACGCTACTCATGCTGACGTGCACTCAGATTTTCTTTGGGCAAAAGGACCTTGAGCAGGGGCAAGCATGGACCGATCATAACAGCGGCGAGCGGACCCTTGTACTTGGTGGAGATCCCAAAATGTATTGCAAAGGCGAAGCCCATCAGGTGTTTAGCGATGGCCGTCTTCATCTTGTAAGACTCACTGATAATATCCATCCACAATAATTCTCACAATATGCCTAGACTGCTCCATATGTCTACACTCGAAAGGCGTCAGTGTTTGCGGAGCCAGAATGGAAAACATTGCCGTGGCTTGAAATATCCAAGACGCCGAAGGACACGTTAGTGGACGTGTACGTCGAGATCCCTGGGCTGTTTGAAACCTCTGATAAGATCCGGGAAGACTTCGAGGAACATAGCAGAGGGAAGTTGATTGACCACTTTGTCTCTAGGTGTTGGCAAATCAGATACGAGCTTGAACGCTGGTATACCACAACAGGATCAGGTATCGAGTCTCTCATTCGAAGAATAATGGGCAAGGGATATAGAACGGCCTCCGTTGAGCATATGGCCAGTGCGCAACTACTCGTGTTATATTGGTGTTGCATCCTCCATTACAGTCAGCTCCGACAGGAAGTCTTCGAATCGGAAAATTTGGACATGCAGGTGCAAATACCGGCAGCAGAAGACGCACAAACCACATGCGGAAACATCTTGAGAGTAATGGTGCTATTCCTCAATCCTTGCTCAGGCTGGTTTGGAATCAACATTGCGGCTCTCCCGATGGTGGCTGTTTTCAATCATATTCAAGGACTTGGGCCTCTTGGTGCCACATGCAAAGAGAAAGATATACTATGCAAACTGCTCCAAACACCAAAAGGGAAGGTCTTATCTGAGTTTGTTCACAGTATGAGGAGGGTCACCTAGCCTGTAAGGATCCCGTTTAGTGGTCTATGATGATATCGTTCATTGGTTTACCCATCAGCCAAGGAGCTTTTCTCGGGGACCTCGTCGCTAACGACTGGTGCGAAGCCTCGAGCAAAAATACACAAGGAACCTTGAAAATATAGGTAGAACGGGGGGGGGGGGTTGAAGAATGAGTTATGAAAGTATAGTGGTAACATGTTTCGGACGCATGGCATGAACTATCAAAACAAACCCCAAAGCTTCAAGTTAGCTACCACGACTGTGCAGGATTCTTAAGATCGAGATTTATCGGAGCTAGAAACTTTCTTTCCCAAAAACAGGATAAAGTAGAAAGACTATATCGAAAGGTAGAGAAAAACAATGAAGATGAGAGGGAAATGGGGACTTCAGTCTTGGCATGGATTCCTGGGGAACTACCCCTCTAAAAGCAAAATCACAAGCTCAGGAGAGACGTGGAGCTCAAGATGCATGATATCCGCATTCAAATCCCATATCCAATCCATACCCTAAATCATCTGCATATGAAATTAGACCTTTCATATCCCCTAAGTGCCCACAGAAGATAATGCCAAAAATACCCCCAACCCCGCTATCCAAAGCTGCAGTAAACCCCGCCTGACACCATAAAACAAAGGCCAAACCTAACGCCACGCTGTGTCAAATACGCCGGATCTGAACCTCCCAGAGGTGCGATCTATATGAAACCCTCCTAGTGTTGCGCCGAATATGAAGTGCCATATGCAGGTCGTAAAAGTGTAGAGGTTTAGGGTGTAAAGGCATATCGTAGGTGAAGAGTATTGAAGGGCTCGACTTTAAGGTGATTTCCTTTCCCGCGGTAGGCGCGTGTAGGCAGATCGAGGGGCTTGGAGGTGAAGTCAATTGCAGGGAATAATTCCCCTCCCTCCTCATCGCTTCATCCGTAAGAGCCGTGTCCGCAACCACATCATAAATTTGGTCCACGCACTGTGTGTCTTATGCTTAGGGCTCTCCTTCTTCTGCCCCCTCGACGGCGGAATACCTGGGCCTTCACCCTCCGCAAAGAATGGCGCGTTCTGACTAGGAACGTTATTGTAGTCCTGCGCAAATAACCCCGCAGTCTTTTCGTTATTCTTCGTAAGATCGGATTTTGATCGTTTTGCTCGCGTGCCAAGCTCACTGGCAGACGATCTACGGTGACTTCTTTCCAGCTGTCGCGCCTCCCTCTGATTCTTCTTCTCCAATTGCTTTATCTCCTCTCGCGCCGCCTTCTCCTCCTTGGCCTGTTCCCTGGCCTCGAACTTCCGGCGAGCCTCTTGTATCGACTCTGATCTGCCGCGGGTCTCAACCTCGCTCCTGCTGCGTATTCGAAACCCCGTGTCCATTGATTGTCGCAGGGATGATGGTGACATAGTATCAACGGGGGAGATGATGTCTGGGTTGGAATCGTGTAGACTGGCGTGGGATGTAGCTAAAGCCAGACGTGAGGTAGAGGGCTTAGTTTGTATCCGCAACGTTGGTAGGGTTGTTGGAGACGCCGATCCTGCTAAATGGGTAGACCGATCTGAGGCTCGGCGGAGTGTGTACTGTCGTGGATCGTCATCCTCATTCAATTGTGGGCTGTGAGGAGGCTCGCCCTCGCGCAGTGAATTCTGATAGGAGGCAGCGAGGGGTGGCGTGTAGGGACGCGGCGTCTGCTGGAAAGGATGCACAAACGATCCGGCACGCTGACCGCTGCCTGTTGTTGCGGTAGAGAATTGCGACGTGCCAGAAGTGGAACGGTTATGATATGCCCTTCGTCCTCCTGCTGTGTGGTTGAAAACAACATCGTGCGATGAGCGGGAGGCCTGCCCATATTCATAGACGCCACCAACTCCAACTCCACCAATGCCCCCTCCATAGCCATAACCATCTTGCTCTGCAGCAGGCCGGTCGAGATCCAAGGAGTCCTTCTCGCTTTGCGTCAGCTTGCGCAGTATGGGCTTGACTTTGGTGCGCGTTTTGGACGTGGTTTGCCCATTGTAGCTGGACATGGTTGTACCACGAACGTAGGTCACCGCTTTTTTATATACTTGGCATACTTCGCGATGCGGGACGAGAGGGAGCTCGGATTAATCGGCCACCGCTGCGACAAGGAGATAGACGGTGTAGCATCAAAGTCGAGAATGGCTGCGACGATGTGCGAGAAAGAGAATTGAATGTCTGGCTCTTGCTTGCGGAAGTGGATGGATGGATGGATGGATTGATTGCTGACGGCTGGCGTGAGGAGGATCCGGTTCGTATCTTGGTTACGGGTTTAATGAGGCAGGTGAGATGTAGTGGATATGGATGTGGAGGTGGAGGTGGAGGTGGATGCGGATGGGACGAAGGATCCAGGTGAGGATTGCGTTGCGTAGAGGAGATAAGAATAACAATCAGCCTTAGTTACTCGTACTGTACTGCACTCAGCTCAGCTCAGCATGCCGCGGGGCGCAGGCGCAGGTGCAGATAGGAACGAGCGGTGCAATAATAATGGAATTCGCAACACCATTGGCACCAATATGATTTGCATTCCAAATGCAAACTTGTAGAGAGAGAGGAATAGAGAGAGTACGAGTAATTCGTATAGAGAAGTATGGAGAAGTACCTACTCATCCTACTCATCGCTCGCTCTAGACTCGCTGATTCAGCTTTCGCCGAAACATCCGGGCCCCCCAAACCCCACCCCTCATCTGGAAACATTATATACGGGGTCGCCGCGGAAACTCGGGAGGGTAGGTAGATAAGGTAAGATAGTCCAGATAAGATAGAATTCCCTATCAGACAGACAGCTACTCAAAGTTGTGTTGTTTCAAATCTACAGAGTAGAAATCAAAATCAAGCCAAGCCAAGCCAAGCCAAGCCAGGTAAAGTAAGGTAAAGTACGTGTCAGGTCGGGGCAAGTTGTGAGGCTCACGGTATGGTCTGGTAGGTAAGTATGTAGGTGGGTGATGAGCGCTTTTGGGGCTTTTGGGCTTTTAGCCTCTTATGCTTTTACGCTTTTAGATTACAAGCCATGGAGGGTGATGGCACGACATGATACCATTCCCCTACCTCTGGTTAAAGACCTCTATGTGGGGTGAAGAGGATGTGATAGAAGCTCATGGCCTGTCCTGTGTGCCATCAAGCTCAAGCTCAAGCTCAAGTATTGGGCTGGTCTAATGCAATCTGGTGGAAAAGGCATCATGATCAGCAAGCATGTGGCGGTCGTATCGCTGAGCATACCGTCATCACTAGATGAAGATGTGACTGCCGGAAAATCATCATTGGTGCAAAAGTATCTACGTAAGTATGTGATGGATGCAATTGTGCCTTTATTCAAAAGTTTTCTGATTATACCCACCCAGATATATATCTGCTTGGCGCAGTGTTGTCTAGGAACAGAATAGAGGTACGGGCACTCGCCAATCCTTCCGTATTGCCTAAGGAGTGCGTCTTTGCTCGGAAGAAACTTCTTCTGGTGACTTTATATGATGAATTTTTGAATGTACTTATTCCCGTGTCGTGAGTAGTAGTGGACGAAGCTGAACAGGCAGGACTTTGGTACTAGAAATGAAAGCACCTCCACCCCGACAGGAGATCTTCCTCCGCCTCCAAACCGGCCCATCCTACGTAAATCCTTACTCTCGGTGCTTTGCCTGAAGCTGTAATAAGTACTGTACTGCAAGGGATGGAAGAATATAGGACCGGCATCATTTCTGGGGAATCTGTTCACTCCTTCCTCTTTTAGCCTGTCTGTCAAGGAAGAGATACTTAACCGTCCCAGCCGTTTGGGTTTCCGGTACGCCGTGAAGCTTGAAACAGAAGTTGGAGCTGGGGATGTACGGAGGTAGTGCTGTAAGTTACGAGATGAAGGAGAGAAGAATAATATTCGGATGATAAACGAAAATATTACCATTTCTCCCGCGGACGTATGCCTCGGAAGTCCCTTCCTTATGCAGTGGTGCCATTGTGTGACCTCTATACCACGTTGTTTTCACGTTCTAGAACCCGGGGTGTTTTCAAGGTTCCCTTTATTTTCACCTGCCCATCAGAGAAATGTGTAATTGATGAAAATGATCAGAGAATTAGCCAATGTTAATCTCCTTGAATATTGATATTCAAAAGCAGAAAAGCCAGAAAACCCCCCAGAAATCGTATGCCAGCCCCATTTTTCATGAAAAGCTCTAGACATTTCCTGGCATGTTTAATCCACGATGGTCTGAATCGATATCGATCACTTGCATACAACCGTGCATCCCGTTCTATTATCGATGCTGCCAAGGAGGCGTTCTTAGTGCACTACAATCCGATAAACTATGCGGACTATCTCCTAACGCTGATCTACCTTGAGGCTATTATGTGAGATGGCCTCATCTGGGTCGTCCCATTCAAGGTTCATAAAGCACTTATGTGAGAGTTTGCGAAAAGGTACTTGGGTACTTGATGCTACTGCACGACTTATACGGTATGGCACCAGACGCACAGAATTTTTGCAAGCTCTGTTATACCGGCATGGGAATTATGAGCATGTTGTTTTAGAATGAGGATGGACCAGGCATTTTACTCCACCTTTGGAAGGTCATGCTACTATGCAGTCATTACTCGTAGCCGTGCAGACATAGCCTGCTTGACTTGCTGAATAAAGCGTGACAGCGATTATAAGTTTCAAAATGGTCCAAGGTCGGCGAGATGCTGCAAAATTGTTATTCGCTTGGGAGCAGAGAGAGCCGCGCTTGCATGTTGCCATGTACACATTCCGTATTTAGAAAGAAGCACGGAGTCCAGGCAAAGGAGACGGCCTGGATATACAATATTAAGATAAGCATACGCCACCAAGTAGCGTTTATAGACTATCGCCGCGAGTTCACATGTGGTTGGCGGTTGTCTCAGTCTTCTCAGCGTTCGATTTGCTTGAGGTCGGCCTGCCTGTCACCTCCGCATACTCCTGGTTCCAACCGGAATGGATAAATGTTTCAGTGTAGCAGTTCATGTACAAGATGCATGGATAGGAATGCGGCCCCAGACGTCTTTAATTAGGGGAAGAGACTCTTGCATCCCCGAACCAAGATTCGGAAGGAACATACAGTAGTACATGCTGGAGACGGATGATCCCGCCTAATCCATATCAATTGTCACAACAGGAGCGCAGGTGGTGGAAGAGGGTTACATCAACGTCCCTACATTGAACCTGGTCATCTTCGGCATGAGCGCCTACTTCGGGTTATAGAAGAGCCGATATCGAAGGTGTTCCTGGTTTTCCCAATTTCCTATACTCAAAGTTTCCTTCCTTCCTGAGCTTTCCGTCTGATTCTCCACAGTTTGATCGGGTTTCCCTAGGTTTCTGACTTACAGGGGAGGAATTGGAGGTTAGTGGTGGTTTGTAGCGCTATAGTCAGATGAGAAACCCCGCCCAGTAGTCGCGCCGTCATGACCAACTGCTGTGGGCCTCTAGTCTGCCGCGGGAAAGGGAAAGGCAAAGGGCAATGCATAGCGTTAGTTTCCCAGGCGGCTGCAGCGTGAGAAGTGCTTCTAAATTTATTAATTACGAGCATCAGAGGATTCAAGCTCTAAGTACCTATTCCTGGTTTAATACTGGACTGGGGCCCCCGCTAGCTAGGGAGTGACATGCTGACTTCAGGGTCAAGTATTACGCAAGGACAAGCTGCACTAAGTCTTCACGAGAAGGTCTCCAAAGCTCCAGAGCATGGCCTGTACTCGGAGTACCTCGCATATCATGTCACAGCGTGTGCATGGCGCCTGCATTTAATCGCGTCACCTTGCTGCTGGAAACCTTGTGGAGAAGCTCCCCTCCCTCCTTCGCTGCTCCTTCTATGTCAGTAATATGGAAACGTACTTCAAAGTAGATCTATGTACAGGAAGAAAATAAGGGTGCTGTATAGCGTCGTAGCGAGCATATTAGTCAAAGGCGATCCATGAGGCGGAGATAATGCGGTGCAGTGCAGTACAGTAGGACGGCTGCAATGCGCAATGCAAAATGCTGGGGAGATCAAGCCCGTGCTTGAACAAATTTTCCTACTGCCGACTGGGAGGTTACAGGCTGAGGAGAAGGTCATTTTGACTGACCATTGACTGGCCATTGATGGTTGAGTAGAGTAAGTTCGGTAATAGTAGTTACTACTCGAGAGTATCTGAATAGTGCCTACTTGTAGCTATCCTCAGCTCAGCTCAGCACCACTCACTCACGATGCCCCCCCTCTTGCGTACTATACCTATCAAGCGCCACAAGAACTGCCCCTCATTGCGACCTACCCTGGCAAGTAGGAAACTCCCCAAGCCACCAACACCGGTCCCCCAATCCTCCTCTCATTGCCCCTCCCTGCGATCCTAGCACGGCCTCTTATTTGGCAGCTGCATGGCATCGTACACTAAAGACGGGCTTTTAGAACTAACAACCGAAGCGCCTCGCCCTTCTGGGGCTTCCAGTAAGAGGTCGCTGCAGAAGGCTCGAAATTCTGGACTATGTCCAAAAGGCGTCCCTAAGATGTACAAATGCGGCCCTGTGCAGGGCCCCATTGACCAACTCGTTAAAATACCCTGGACACACTTTCGCACCATGGCTTTCCCGTCGAGCCTATTCAGGCTGACCTGACGAGCTGTAGCAGAGGTTGCAGAGCAGCAGTACTGTACAGAAACCAAGTGTAGGTATGTAGGTATTTACTGTAAAAGCAAGATATATGCGAACCAGACAGACAACAAGCTCTCTACTGTAGCCGGCCTTGTGATAAATTGCAGGGAGAAAGGGCAGGTAACGGCAACGCAACTTTCTCTGCTGCCCAGCCCCTCTCCCCCCTCTCCTCCTTTCGTAGCCCTCCCCTCCCAGCAGATCCCCATGTTTGGCATGTTCTTGTCCGTGTCCGGCCATGTTGCCTTGGATGTTCGAAACCCGGAAAAAGTGGCGCCGACAAGCGTATTTCAACAACTGACTTCATCTGCTCTGCTCGCGCGCTTTTCTCTCCCCCATCCCAGCGCCTGTTTTCTCCTGTTGATCCACTCCCCATCTCGATCCCTGAACTATCCTCCTACTAACGTCCAGCTACTCTACCTTCTACCATAAAAATATGACTGATCGGGTTCGCGTCCGCTGCTTAGATGCTACTGCTGCTTCTCGATTGTTGGTCCCCGTCTGCGTCTGCATTGTGGCTGATCGTTCCTATATAGTCCTCGACAGACCCTTTGAAGATGCTGCTCTTGTCATGACATCTCGGCGACACTCGTGCTAGGTGTACATGACGGGCACTTCTGGCATTGTATATTTATCAATTGCACCACGAGTACATAGGGATGACGGTCGTTTTGTGATCTTTTGTCTCAGTCCTTCGTTGTTGTTTATTATTATCAGTCTGATTGATACCCGCGGCATCCTCATTATCATTTTTTGTTGCGTTGCACTCGCATCTCCGCCTCAGCATTTCGGTCCAGAGCATAAGCAAGCAAGCAGCGCGTTACATTTCCAAGAATTTTCGCGTTTTCACGGCTGGATCCAGTGAAGACTCCCACTTCCTCTCCAATCTCGCCCAATTCGGATTTTGCTGCAGATACTACCAAGAAAAAGCAGTAGCCGGTACCCCTCCTAACTCGACGGAAACTCTTCCGACCACAGGCAGCGCCGCAACACAATCAGCTTGTTTCTCGAGTCAGGTGGTCCTGAAAATTGCCCCTTTGCCAATCACCTCGAAACTGTGAATGCCTAAAACAAAAGTCATTCTGCCTCGGTGACACTGGAACCTGTCGAACGGTTGGTTTATCACATGATCAGGGACTACCTACACAAACAAGCATTGCCAACTTTGAGCTTCAAGCAACACGTTGAAAATTCTTCTTTGATATTCACTGCGAGGAAGAATTTTTACTGGTTTCGACACGAAGAGGCCACATTTGCAAACCAGTCGACTTAAATTCATTTTTAAGACCTGATTTTTTTGGAAAAAGAACATCGAGTATCACAGCCTCAAAATCCTTTGACATTCTCCCCACTCAGTCAGCATGTCTGTCTTGGAACTTTTGGACGTTTGGCAATGGACCTGGTTGGTTCTCTGGTAAGTCAACTTTGACCACTCACCATCAAATTTCTCTAGAATGGAGACATTTTGGGCATCTTCGTGCAACGAAATGTGTTGGTACCTATACAAGAGCTAATTCCCACGCAATAGGCTTCATCGCTACTTCCGCTTCATTGTCAACACCTGGAGTCACTGGACCTATCAAACGGTTCCAATCCCCGTAAAGCCATCCTACACCTCAAAAGATATCACTGTCATCATCCCGACCATCCACAACAATTTTGAGGAATTGAGGGAATCGCTTCAGAGCATCCTTGCCTGCCAACCGTACGAGCTTCTATTGGTCACGACCTCGGACAAATACCAGAGACTTCGGGCATTCGTCAAGACTTTGGAGGTTTCGAATATTCGAGTGTCTCACGTGCCCATTGCCAACAAGCGGATTCAAGTATGCGAGGCCATTCCAATGGTGAAGACCGCCTTTATTCTCATGGCGGATGACGATGTCACGTGGCCTCGTACAATCCTCCCATGGCTGCTGGCTCCCTTTGAGGATTCCAAGATTGGTGGTGTGGGGCCATGTCAGCGGGTCAAGCGGATTCGGTCTGGCCACCCTCTTATGGAACGTGTTTACAACTGGCTGGGCGCTGCTTATATTGAAAGACGCAACTTTGAGATATCAGCCACTCATGGTCTGGATGGTGGCACCTCGTGCATGTCTGGGCGCACCTGTGTCTTCCGTTCTGAGATACTCCAGAGCCCGCTCTTCCTAGATGGCTTCAAGACTGAACGTTGGGGCAAATTTCAGCTGAATGCTGACGATGACAACTTTGTCACTCGGTGGCTTGTGTCCAACCAGTGGAAGACTTGGATTCAGTACAACAAGGAGTGTGAGATTGAGACTACCCTCGAGAATGATGTCAAATTTCTCTACCAGTGCTCCCGCTGGGCCCGTAGCAATTGGAGAAGCAACTATACTAGCCTTATCACGGAGAGACACGTCTGGACGTAAGTAATGAACATTGACTAAACAGCCACTTTCGCTAACAACCAGAAAGACAACAGCCTTGGTCAACTTATGCCTTGCACATTGCTACCTTTACCTCTCTGTCCTTCGCCTTCGATCCTCTCATCATCTTCCTGACTTTTAAAGCCACAGCACATTGGTCTTCTGAGCTCCAGTTATATGCTGTCTTTGCTCAGCTTGTATGGATGTTTATTACTAAATGGGTCAAACTGATCGGCTTGTTCATGCGAGAGCCATCGGATATGATCTTCTTGCCTGTATCTGTTGTATTCGGATACTTGCATGGCATCATTAAGTTATATGCGCTGGTTACGCTCAGACATGTGAGCTGCCTTGTAGTCTTCTTCCATTTATGCACTGCTGACATCTATCTAGACCTCCTGGGGTAGCCGAGCCGACGGTGATGCCAACGATAGCCACCGTATGAGTCCCCGAGCTCGGCGTAGTGAGAGTATCACTATGCCACCGGGCAACCACCCAGGTCTTATCCGATATAATGACGATAAAGCCTACCCCTCACCTGAAAAGCGCGATCCCTCCGAAAAGGCAGTGGACGACAACGATAGCGCATCCGAGAGCGACTTAGACGCTGCTACTGATAATTCTTACGATGCCAACGATATAAATGATGATTCCAATAATCAGTGATTCGAATATTAGTTCGATAAGGGTGGTGGCCCCTGGACGCTAGTGCAGCATAACTCCAGTTGGACCCCTCCATGCATTTGTCGGTTGTTACCATATTTTCCAATTCCATTCTTTGGCGCCGACGATTTTACGACTTGACGAACGAACGAATTTTGGGACTTTGCAATGCGGTGTTAAATACCGAGATCCTCATGCCGGATTTTGCTGGCAGCATGTGTTGGTGCTTAAGGGCGAAGCGATAGCTGCTATCAACAGCAGATAAATTTTGGCTTTCGTTCTACCGTGTCCTTTTCGGGAGTTTGCTTCATTCTCACTTTGTATTTCCTTGTTCTTTTTGGGATAAGAGAACATAGGGGCCGACGGTACCGTGCACTTAAAATGTCTTCTCTTTGGTTTCTAGGAGCTACAAAAGTTATTTTCTCTTTACTCTCGCTGGGTGGCAGACCTCATTTTCCAAAATTTCTGGTGGTGGCTTAATTGGATGGTAGATGGAAAGTAAAGCATACCCCTAAAAGTATATTACATTCTCTTCTTGGATACTGGGCGGTTGAAACTACTACTCTGTTGCTTGGTTAGAAGAGAGAAATCTGGCATAGAACATCATCAATAGATGAGAGCGGTAATTAAGGACATATATTTGCCAGAGCGCCTTTCAAGTTCATACTTGATCATTGTTCTAATCGTCCCAATTGATTCAGATCTAAATCATCTATCATCAATGCCTTTTTATCTTCACAGCCTCCGTCAAAGTTGACATTCTCCATCATCTCGAAACCCCTTTTCTAGCCAGAGCTCCGTCCGTTCTTCAACTACCCACCCATGACGGAACTCCCAAATCCCTGTCCCTGTAACCCTCCCCATACCGCTAATGCATGCCATTGCATACGCATCATGCACTTGCGTGCAGGGAAGGTTACTCAACCTTTCTGTTGTGTATCTCGCTCGCAGTGGCTTCCAAGCACGTGCTCACACAACAGCCTCCGTACAGTACCCCTCCTCTCCCCTCGCTCACACCATCCTTTCCTTTCCTACCTTCCAGTCCCTCCCCTTCCTTTTCTCGGACCATTATACTATACACATACACGTGTTTATAAAAAACATGTGAATATGATACGTCTCCTTTGGCAAGCCTAACTTCTCGTTTTGATTCGAGAGTAATATTAGAAATCCATAGCCTGAAAGCGGTTAAATCGAACCTGCCTCACGTTGCACGACATTATTCGGCCACGGCCGGAATGGAAAGCAAGCAAGCAAGGCAAGGACTGGGAAGAGAGAAGAAAGTTTCTGCCTGTCTGTCTTGTCCCCTGACTACTTGACTACGGTACATACGGAGTACGTATGTATACGAGGCCTTCTTCGGGGGTGGACGAAAATAGATGTATATATTAAACGAAACTCTCTCCACATCATATCCTTCAAGGTGTCTGTCTGACAAGGAAATACAGTTCAAATCACATCATGCTTCACAGCCTGGTATTTATGAGTTTACAATTTCAATTGCCGCGCAACACGCCATACATAATCCGGGCCTTGCCGGACCGAACAGACTTCTCGTACACGCACGTCTAGACTACTCCACTTAGACTAGACTAGATAGCAAAGAGCAGATGAGAATGAGAATATTACTAATAAAGGAATAAAGAATGAATGATTGATTAACCTAGCTAAGGGATTTAGCTACGGAACTTCGCTTTTGTATTATTTAAATACCTTCCCGCATATCAACCAGGAATCCCACCTTCGACCCCACCCCTCAACGTCAAGTCCAGCCCCACTCATGCACGGCGCTGAGATCAGAGGGACCTGCATACTGAATGCTGGCCGGCCGCCGATGACGATTGCGCATAACTACAGGAGGCATGATGGATGAGATGGGATGGGATGGGATGGGAGGCTTGGATGCGCATACATATATAGGACGATTGTCATGGTACGTTGTGCGGTACTTGTAATGCTACATTATGCCGTACCGAGTACGGGCAGACAGGCATATTTACTAATACAATGTAACTGTGGTGTATGATTTTGTGGGATCTGATTGTGTGTATCGTATCTACGGTACTGTACAGTACTGTACAGGACCATATCTGTGTGGGTGTGATTGAGATGTGATTTGGAGGAAGTGGAGTGGCATGGGCTGATGTGATGGAATTTGGTTCGGTAGCATGGGAGGGGGAGGGATGAAATGTGCTGTGATGTGATGCGACTGCGACCTCGACTCAAGCCGTGCGTGATTGCGGGGTTCACCTCGCCCAAGTAGTTCGTTCTAACACAGCCACAGACAGACACAGCTCAGATTATGCTTACTGCTTACTCGCGTTAAGATATTTAGGGATATATTCTTTATTTACGAGATAGCCGTCGAAAAGTCATTAGAGCTGCGACAAAGGAAGGGCAAATTAAAGATAATGCTTAGATAGATAAGTAACCCCAGCCCAGCCTATACATAGATTTGTAAATGTATAGCTTCACCCATCCCATCCTTGAGCGTTAGGTAAGAAAGGGACGGTCTTAATAAGCAAGCAAACAACCAACCAAAGAGGTACCATATTTTAGCGGGTTGCGAATCTCTCCTACCATAGACCTTCGGACCTTCGGGAGTAGGGAGGGCTTCATACTCGCACAAGTAGGTATTTACAAGTAATATAACATACTAGTATGTACTTTATTCGTACCAGTCCAGTCCAGACAGACAGAATCACCCACTACAAGTACGGCCCGCTCGCTATTCCCATTATTTATCGCCAAGGGAGGGGGCAAGGCAGGGTGGGGCGTGCCGAGTCGCGCTTTAGTTCCTACATTACTCGCCTCTACCATACCATACCTACTTGTACAACAATACTATATGCCATAGCATTACTCCAGAACCCAAATCCAAACAGCTACATACATACATACATACAGTCTGTAATTAACATAACATATTATACTTACATCAGGAATGGTAATTAATTATCAATCACGGTATGGGGCATCGCATCAATTAATCATTGGCGCGTGTAACAACCATTCCTTGTATTGTGCATAATGGTAGTGTCAAAAGTGGGGGAAGTAGGCAATGGCAATGGTAGTGTCCACTTCAAGCTAAACTCGCAGCATTTAGTGTGCTAGATCTAGATGCCGTGCATGGAGGCGTACATTATGATGTTGCCGAATGAAAGAATCCACCGAATGACTTTTTCAAGAGATGATGCTAGATGCCGGATGGATGGATGGATCTGGTGGGTATGTTTGGTATTGCATGGTACAGTAATGCGGTGTTGGGTAGATGTGGGCTGAGATGAGACTGCGGTTTGGGTCTGAGATCGATGGATGGTAGGCAGGATGGATGTGGGAGATGCATAATATCTGACTGAGAATCTGAGATGCATCCGAGTACGGCAGTGTAGAGTTTTCACGGCGCAGCTATGTAGTCCTGGCACCACTTGACATTGCCGTGATGCAATGGTACTAAAACGGACGTTGTGAATCTTTGTCTCTGCCCTAAATCTTGACAACACTTCTTTGCTTGTTAAGTGCAGGTCAAACTTCATCCAGCCGTAACTCATAACGCATCATGCAAATGCAAACTTTACTTTCTCAATCAGCATTCCCAGCTAGGAATAGAATATCCTCCTTCATAGCCGGTGTCATCTCCCCCTTCCCGGTATAAATATACGAGACGACATCTCTCCACGCCTCAGGTCTGGGGACCGGGAGATCGATGGAATCTCCCTTCCTCACATGACCAGAGAGCATCAATGCTCCTAGAACTGGGAGATAGTGAAGTGCATATTCGATATCTGAAACAGTCAGAAGAAATCACGAACATTATTACGATTAGAGTACTTACGAACAGGAACAACCCCTTTCCCTAGCGAGCCGGGGTCATTTCCGGCCCGGCCCTCCTTGTATCCCCGTTTGCTCTCGCTTGACAGCGGCTGCGCCGACAGCCGTCGTTGTCGTACGGAGCGTCTAAGGCGTGGGGGACTAGCACCTGCTGATCGGTTTCCAGATACCGGGATGCTCGTACGTAGATCTTCAATGTCAAATTGTCTCTGGATCAAGAACGGCTTCCGTTCCTTCGCCCTGGGAGCTACTCTCGCGCGGATAGTGACTAGATTTGATGATCCGGGTTGTAAAGCATGACCTCCTTCTGTGGTGAGGGCTAGACTGGGTCGACGAAGGCTGACAGCATTGACAAACGCATCTGCGGTTTCTGAATTACCAAGGTAAACACTGCCCCAGTCCCGGAGTCGATCATGGATATATAGAAACGGGACATCTGAAGCAGCGACGAGTACATCATCCGATCTCTCTCTTGATGCAATCTTCCCGATCTTGACCAAGTCATTCTCTTTCATCCCAGTCATCTGCACATCAGCCGCTTCATCAATCTGGATCTCGGGCACATCTGGAGTTTCTGCAACTGTCTGTAGCTGGCTCTTTGGAGAAGAAAAGGTGAAGTTTCCAAGTTGCGCCGCAAGATCTCCTTCTGGAGGGAAGCTAGAGTGACGACGAGGGAACTGATGTACTTCGAATAAGCTTTTACGCCGCTGCTGTGCGTCGGCTTTTGGTCCGATTGGTATTTCGTGGTCGAGTTGGTAGGCACGTGCTGCCACAATACTTGGGCTTGGAAGAGAGTTCCTGGACGAAGATGATGATTGACTCGAGGACCGACGTTTCATCAAATCTTGTGAGGCATTACTGATTGCCAGTTGTTGCAGATCGGTATGGTGTTTTCGTGCAACGGTTGATGTTTCGCTCATGTTGACGGTTTTGATGTGATATTGGATGACTTCTTAGCTCAATTGAGTATTTCGAAAAACGAGCCAACGGTCTTGTGGTATTCTCTTCTCTCCACCACGGTAGTTGACGCGTCTCACGCAAGCTGTCCACCAAACTCAATACGTTCCTGCTCGTTGGGAAAGGGGGGGAGCTTAAAGACACGAAAGTAAATTCTGGCAACTCTGATGACGAAAATGAGTGTTTTGTAGGACGACATGCAGAACAGCAGATAGAGGTCGCGAGCTGGTATATAAGAAAAAGAAAATGGGGGTTGAGGGGTACATTCCTTGAGGTGGGAGCTTATGATTAGGTTTGGGATTCTTAAGCGTCAACACAAAGAAAAGTGATGGCCTTCAGAATGTTTGACACGTCCCTTACATACATACGAACGTGTTTACTATGGACAAAGAGACTGCTTGAACGTTGACAGCAAGCCGCACCCCTCCCGCAACATGAATTAAGTCTGCAACGATACTTATTGGGCCATTTGGGCTCTCGGGTGAAGGTTGTGGATGTAGATCATCAACTTTGAGAGGCACGTGTCATTCTTCCGCAAGCAGCTTGCTTTTGATAGAAAAGCTATTTAATCAAGGAGAGTGATGCGAATTAATGGCAACTTGCCTCAGGCCGCCCGTTATCTTCTCATGATTCGAAACGCCAACGCATAGTCTTTGAAGAGGACATTCCTCAAGTCCTCAATAGGTGAGACTCCTAATGCCTAGTCAGGAGCTATCCTTTTGCAGCAAAAGTCTTCAGAAAGGACACCATGGCCAAAAAAAACTTCAACAGCATATGAGTGATCTGTCAATATGACACATATTGAAGCGGTGACTACATCTGTTGGAAAAGAGATGTATGTCGGAGTGAAGTGGGTGGATGCGGATTTTTGAGTTCGCTTGAGATGTGACCACGCGACTCACTTCTCTACGACGCGACTTCTGGCATCTTCAAAGTCCAACTATATAACTCTCGAGGGATGGACATCGTTCCACCACAACAATTGCAACAATGTCGAGGGCAGCAGAAGCAGCTATAGCTGCCAGTTACAAAGCTCTGAAAGAAGACTTTGTATCCAATCTTACTGGCGGAGAAATTGGGGAGATCAACTATGTTACTGCAGTTGCGCCCGTAAGTCTTTTTCTCCAGCAGAGATATATATATATACTAAGCATCCCAAGGTAGCATTGGTCCTCTGGTCTGCTCTGCAAACACGGCAATCCTTTTTCAAACCATATACCCCCCTATCCTTCGCCGTCGACTTCCTCCTCAATGTCTGCGCCATCCTCCTCGCAACCACCCTCTATTCCTCCACACCCATCGTCCTCAACATCCTCCTCCTCGCTCCCGTAGCAATCATCTACGCCCTCCCACGCCCCCCGCTCTCGAAAAAACCCAAAGTTCCCCCACCGAAAACAAAAGATGCTGATGCGGAGAACCCGCTTCCCAAGAAACCCTTCTTGACCATATACAGAGGCGCAATGCTGGTTGTAACATGTCTAGCCATCTTGGCAGTCGATTTCCGCATCTTCCCTCGCAGATTCGCAAAGGTCGAGAACTGGGGCACATCGCTGATGGACGTGGGTGTCGGATCCTTCGTCTTCTCCGCAGGCGTCGTGGCCGCACGACCAATTCTCAAAGAGCAGTTAGCGGGCAAGAGCACAGCACTCAGCACACGATTATACAAATCCATACGGCATTCTCTGCCACTTCTCGTATTGGGGTTTATAAGGCTATACAGCGTCAAGGGATTGGATTACGCAGAACATGTCACTGAGTATGGGGTGCATTGGAACTTCTTCTTCACACTGGGCTTTCTACCGCCGTTCCTGGCATTGTTCCAGACGGCTTTCGCATACATCCCTTCGTACGCTGGTCTTGCTATCTTGCTAGGCTCTGTTTACCAGGTAGCGCTGGAATTCACGACCCTGAAAGCATATATCCTCACCGCGCCCCGCACCAACCTCTTCTCCCAGAACCGCGAGGGCATCTTCAGTTTCTTCGGATACCTAGCGATCTTCCTCGCTGGCCAGAGCACAGGTATGTTTGTGCTGCCGCGGAAACTGTCATCTACAGCCACGACTGGGACGGAGCAGCGGAAACGCCTCGTCTTGACGCTGGGGGCTTGGTCCGGGTTCTGGATAGCGTTGTTTATGCTGACGACGAATTACAAATACGGGCTCGCGCTGAGCGTGTCCCGACGCCTAGCAAACCTGCCCTACGTACTCTGGATTAGCGCCTTCAACAGCACGCAAATCCTCTGCTTCTGCCTGGTCGAAACATTCTTCTTCCCGGGCGTGTACAAAGCCACGACTGCGAAGGAGGAGAAGGAGGCGTATGAGTTGGCGACGAGCAGGGTGCTGGAGGCGTATAATCGGAACGGGTTATTTGTGTTTCTGGTGGCGAATCTGGGCACAGGGATTGTGAACATGACGGTCAAGACGTTGGATGTTGGGAGTAGGGGGGCTATGGGGATATTGGGTGTTTATGGGGGGCTGATTACTGCTTTGGCGGTGGGGTTGGATTTGTATGGGATTTCTATCAAGATGTAAACGTAGATTTAACGGCTGACGAGTATAAATTACATTTGAGGCTCTAATTTGCCTTGTAAAATTATTTTATATTAATCAATTTAGCTCGAGATGCGGAGATCGGACTTCCCCGTCCCAGTATTATCCATGGACGGGTAGGGTATCACCGTAATGGCCCATGGCCATGGCAACGGCTGATTACCTTTCTAGAAGGTAGGCGAGGGCGACGTAAGGAAATGATGGCGTTGGTCCGTGGCGGATTGCCCGTTCTGTTTATCCGCTCGAGTAGCTTCTAGCGATTGGGATGTAGATGTAGATGTAGATGGGGAGGTGTTTAGAGAGGAGGAGAGATAGCAGTTGATTATATAGAGAATGGGAGAATGAGGGGAGAGGTTCTAAAAAGCAAGGACTTGGTCGGGAATAGGTAGGTACTGTAGGTATGGAGGTGGTTTGTTTCTTTGCTAAAGATAGATAGATATCTGTATGTACAGTAGGGTATTCCTTCTTGATAGGAATGGAATAGATGGTTGATATGGTTAAATTACGGAGAATTTTAAAAAGCTCTCCGTGTTATTATATCTTTCTCAAGGTAAAATACTATAGTATAGTTCTTGAACGGAATCTTATTCCTCCAAGTTACTGTAAGTTGAAAAGAAAGGTCGTAGATAAGGTAGTCGGGACTCGGCTCGGGTTCGGGAGAAAGATGGATGGCTGGCTGCAAGTACCCGCTAGGTCCGTTTCGTCGCTTGAAACTAAAATCAGACGGTACGGGTACGGGGTAGGTATGGAGTGGAGTGTCCATAGATCTGTGTTTCAGGTGATGAAAAGAGGCTTTTTGAACGAGGTGAGGTTTGTGTAATTGGTAATTGATCACCCAATCAATTAATCGAGAAGCCAAGAGATTGATTTCTAGAAAAGGTAGCAATTAATATACTTGCCATATACAGGAATAAATGATCAACAAACATATGGGATGTATGTCCGGAAACAGATATAAGTTTCGTCAAAGATTATTATGACTAATCAATCTAGGAAGTCAAGTAAACAAAGCATGAAGAGTGGGAAATGATTTGTTTATGGAAATGGCTTGCTTGGACTTTTGAAGATTGCGATGATCTCACCTGCGAGGATGTTTCATGGTGATCCTTGTAGCGGGTCATCTAGTACGGGAATGTTTAATGTGCCACGTCAATGCGGCTTAGATGGGGGATTGGTGGGAGAAGAGAAGAGAAGAGAACGAGAGGGAGGAGTGGATGGGATGGGGATGGGGATGGAGCTGGAGATGGAGATGGAGGAAACATTGTTTATGCCTTTGATGTTGTTGTTTTACGCGCAGGACTGCCGGTACGAGTTGCTGCTTGGGGTTTGAGGTGAGAAAGAGGACGCGATGATTGATGATGGGATGAAACTGTGGTTATATGTGCTTGGAGTTGTATGGAGAGAAGCATAACATGGAAAGATTTGGTGGTTGTGAGGAGGGACGGAATTGATATAGAAAGAACAACGATGGGAAAGATTAATTGATTTTATATAATACAGATGTTCAGCTGGTCTTCAAGGGAGAAGAGAAGCAAATATCAATATAACCAGCCTTCTTCTCCCCGTCTTTCTGCAGAGACCGGAGACTCCGTCATATTAATTCATGGATATATATCAAAATTATATTAACATCTCGACTCGGGATGCCATCTTATCCAACGAGTCTCCTTGTAGACATTCATTTTAGTATCACAGTCCTTTCCAGCCAGAATTGGTGTCACAGTAGGTAGTCCGCTTGGCCTCGCTAGGTCGTGAAAAGGAAATTGCAGCCCCAAGCAAAAGGCAGGTGGTTGATCTTGTATCTGCCGTCTGTCAGTCAGTCTGTCTGTCTGTCTGTCTGTTTCTGCTCCGAAACCAAAAAACCCTCCTCCTCCAATCCAACTCCACCATACCAGTCTTCTCCCTCCCTTCCTTCCTTCCGACCTCACCCTCACCCTCATCCTCACCGACAGACATCAACATCATACCACTCGCCTACTGTTCAGTTCAGTTCAGTCCAATTCCCACTCGTTGCTCGTCTTGTTCTCGTCGTCGCGCGCCATCAATCGACACCGTCCCATTTCAACCTGAAGATACCCCCATTATCCCCGCGTATTTGTTCCAGAAATCACCCGTCAGACCGCGACAATCACCCTATCGCAGCTGAACAGTGACAGCCGTGGAAAAGTCCTGGCACGATTGCTGCGCCAACATCCTGCTGCACCATGCTAGCTAGTTCGTCCTATTGGTGATCCAGGCGACCTTCGCAATCACAAGCAACAGGGCAGGCTTGATATTGATCTCTGCGGACCTCATCTGCCAGCAACAGCCTCATCAGCCGGGCCAGAATAGACACGACATCGATAACCTCACACTCCACCTTCTGTACGTGCGCATTGCACACAGCGATGTCTTCGGCCGCACTCCAAGCAGCGCCTCATCAACCCACATCCGTGTCTTCACATTCTCCCGTGGCAGCAACAGCTTCTAACAGGCCTTACACCGCTGGGTCATCGCAGTCTCGGGAACAGCAATATTACAATCAGAATCTTCCAAACGCGTCGCCTTCGTCAACCCGGCGACCCAACAGACGACCCAGCGGCAATGGCGCAAACTCGAATAATCTTAATTCCTCCCAGCAACAACAAACACAATATTATTCACCGTCAGGCAATACTTCCTCCCCTTCCGCGCCGGTAAACTCGCGTAGCCAACCTTCAAGTCACCCATCATCGCCCATTGTTTCCACTTTACCTCCTACTGGTTATCCTACAATGGCACCCGGTGATGCCCAGATAGGTCGTGCTCCAGTTGTCTCACCTCGAACATCCTCGAACCGGAACCCTGCACATGCCGCAGCCTCTGCAGCAGAGCGAAACTCAAGACGGGCAGCATACAATGAGCCTAAAAACTCTCCACGCGCGATACAAGGCGATGGATCACAAGATAGGGTGGAAAGACAGCGCAGCAATGGCAATACCCAAGTCAATGGAGCTGATAAAGGAGATGATGCTGTAGCCGCGGCTAATGCAGCTGCTCGATCAAGGCGAAGACAGCAACCATCCAGTGAAGCTGTTCTCCCACATAGACCAAGTGGGAGCCGTGATTCTAGAGCCCCTCCGCAGTCTTCCTCTGCTAGGGCTGCTGCTAGCACCCGGTCACCAGAGACACTTTCTAGAGAGAACAGCCACATCCTGAATGTTATCAAAGTCAGCGACCCCGAGCAAGATCTCGTCCGTTTAGAGGAGCGCAAGGCAGAGGCTATTCCTTCTTCACCCACTACACATGCGCCTATGGGGGTTATATCCAACGAAGGCGCTCCAGATGTCCCTAGAAGCGGAGGTCGAAGTAGGCATGATCATACAGCAAGCAAGCGCGAGAAGAGCAGCAAATTCGGGGACTACTTCCTGGGAGCTACATTAGGTGAAGGAGAGTTTGGGAAGGTCAAGATGGGATGGAAACAGGAGGGTGGTGTACAGGCAAGTTATCACATTTTACTTGATTTCCTCCTACTAACATTATTCAGGTGGCTGTCAAGCTCATTCGCCGCGATAGTGTCGGCACAAACCCTACGAGACTTGCCAAGATCTACCGTGAAGTCGCGATCCTCCGCGAAATAGCCCATCCCAACATCGTTCGATTACACGAGATGATTGAGACCGATCGACAGATTGGTATCATCCTCGAATACGCATCTGGTGGAGAACTATTCGACTACATCCTGAACCACAGATACTTGAAGGACAACGCTGCTCGCCGACTCTTTGCACAATTGGTGTCTGGAGTTGGCTATCTGCACAAGAAGGGGATTGTTCACCGAGATTTGAAGCTCGAAAATCTACTGCTTGATCATAACCGAAACATCATCATCACTGATTTTGGATTCGCCAATACCTTCAACCCCGGAGACGAATTAGGTGAGGATGTTGAATACAATCTTTCTAGTAGGGAATATGTGAAGAAGATGGAGCTTGACAAGATCATGTCAAACGGCATGAGAAGGGGTGATTTGATGCAGACGAGTTGTGGTAGTCCATGTTATGCAGCTCCAGAACTTGTCGTCAGCGAGTCACTTTACACTGGCCGCAAAGTAGATGTCTGGAGTTGTGGTGTTATTTTAGTAAGTCACTGTTCGCCTATCCCCAGATATTTGCTAATCGTATCTTTAGTATGCCATGCTTGCTGGCTACCTACCTTTCGATGACGACCCAGCCAACCCCGAAGGTGATAATATCAATCTCTTGTACAAGTACATTGTATCCACTCCTCTCACCTTTCCAGAATATATTACTCCGCATGCCCGAGACCTACTTCGCCGAATCCTCGTCCCAGACCCCCGAAAGCGGGCAGATCTTTTTGAAGTTGCCAGGCATAGCTGGTTGAGCGAATTCGAGCATGTTGTAGGCTTCATTACAAGCACCGCTTCCACGGCAGATGTTGCAAAGAAAACAGCCAACTCGGAGGAGCATCAGGAAACACCCCTGCTTGCGAGAAGTGCATCAGTCAGAGAACCAACGAAGACGCAGAAACCACCTACGGCTGTTGGCGATCTTAGCAGAAAGCACGGAAACTTGGACCAGACGGAGACTGAGGCACATACTAAATCTCACAAGGACAACAAGCGCAGAACCGTGCAGGTGGAGTATGTTGCACCTCGAACACAAACCCAGCGTGGCGAGCCCTCTACCGCTGCTGCCCCATCCGGATCGTCAAGAACACGCGCACGTGCAGGAAGTGGAGGACCAGTTGAGGTACAACAACCGAATAGAGCTGTTTCTACAGAGAAGCCATTACCACAGGATCCTCCCATTTCTCGGGATGCCAAGTATTCGGGTGGGAATCCCAATTCTCAGCGTCAACAAGGCATGCCTCCACCAGCACGCCCAGGCCGAGGCCCTCCTAGATCTGTGTCGGAAAGCACTCAAATGGCACACGTGGCAGGCCCCCCAGTTTCCATGGCGAGACCGACTACTGGAGGTTCTATGACTTCGACTGGGAGCAGATCAGGAGCACTCCCAACACGCGGTTCGTACAGCCAGCCCGTGGCTCCTACTGTCGCAGGCACCAACGCGACAGGTCGGATGTCACAGCCCAAGAATGGGAAGACCTATAATATTTCTGCTCCAATGATGCAGAATGAAGAGGAGATTGGACTTCCAAGTTCCCAGGTTCCGGCTAAATTTGCGAGAGTGTCAGGTTTTAACGACCCACAACAGCCACAACATGAAGCAAAGGGCCACAAGAGATCAAACACCGTTGGTGGCTTTTTCAGATCGAACTCCCTTTTTGGAGGCAAATCAAAGAAGGACTCGAACACCGACCAAGATTCAAGAGGTCCACCCGAGAAACCAAAGAAATCATATCCACCTGTGAGCATGAGCGGTGCAGTTGGTCAGGGCCCAACCGATACCCCACGACAATCGATGGATTCCCGTCGATCAATATCATTTGGATTTGGCAAGAAGAGAAGTGGAAGCATCAGCGGGTCACAATCTACCCTGCAAGACAAGCCGAGAAGATTTTCCTTCCTCCCAGCTTCGATATCTCTCAAGTCAATTGGAATTGGCAAGGACGCTGCCAATGAGCCATACGATCGGCCCGACAGCCGCAACTACCTCGAAAATCCTGCAATGGCCCGCATTGATGCATCTCGGAATGTCAGCGGTGCTCTACCACTCACCGCAGATGGCTCATACGATCGAGTTCGAGATAGCCCACTGCTAGACCGCCGTGGTACATCAACTGGCAGCCCAGCCCAACATCAACGTTACCCCTCGCACGGGCAAACCGTAGACCCACGCTCCGGTGCCCCACCACAGTTTCTACCCCCTATGACCTTCCGCCAAGGCGAATCAACTTTAACCACCGAGTCCGAGTCCTCGCTCAATGATATTCAGAATCGCCGAGGCCCAAGCGCCGCCTATCCTCCCGGCTTTAACGACTACGAAGTCGATCGTCGACCTGCGAATAATAGTAGGGGTGGGAATGGAAGAGGTGTTTTGCAGAAGAACAACAGAAAATTCACCGACGCGTATGAGCAAGAAAATAATGGGTATGGACAGTCGCATGTCGATAATGCGGGCAGTAGTGGCGCAGCGAGAAAGGTGATGGATTTCTTCAGGAGGAGAGGACGAGATCGTGGGGGTGATAGATGAACACGCCTTCCCCGAAACCACACATCCTATTATTCCTCGCTAAATACCGAATTATATCATTGTTGGATTGTAAAGGGTGGCTTGCTTTGTTGATAAGAGAAGAGAGTATGAAGAGAGGGGTGGCTGGAGAACCTGACATATTTGCATAATTGCATTGCTTGTTGTGCGCGCATTGTTGGATTTTGGAGTTCAGAGGATGGATGGGAGGGCGTGATGGAGTTGAGCTCTTCTGTGTGGATGGTATGTGTATCTTATGTGTATTGCGTAGTAATCAACTGCAGATGTGAGAAGCTGCGAGAGGGGGAATGGAAAGGAAGAGAGTGCGAGAGCGAGCTAAATAGCGTAGTAAGGACGGACTATACCGTATCTTATATTATATGTCCTTTTGTAATCAATCATCACGCTGATGAATTAAACATATCTCTTATATCTGCTCTGCATTGGTGAGACGGTGTATTAGTATTGTCTTGCGGTATCTATATAGGTCTAACTTCGATCCCGGTTTCTGTCGACGTTAACAGGAAGATGACTTCGTATCCTTTGTAAAACAAAAGCTCTTAAGAATACTAGGATTTGAAATTTATAGCTTTATAGGACATTCGCCTATTATTCCGAGTGAGATTTATTTGAGGAGAGGAGGGGATCTCATATAAAACAACGGGTTAGTAACATTCTTAGCTGGAAGAATAATTAAAATCAAACTTAAATGTCCACCTATAACAAGCGTTGCGTAACTTTAAAGTATACACAGGTCACGCTTCCCTCTTTGGTACTTTCTTGGCCGCATGCTTTACAGTCTTATGCTCTTCCGTTTCATGTTCTTCACTCTCGTGCTCAGTCTCATCGTGTTTTGCCTTCGAAGCCACCTTCTTATTTGCGAGTGGCGTCTTGGAGGCTTCGCCATGTTCGCCATGAGCAGGCGCTGCTTTCTTCTTGACGATAGGTTTCTTGGGCGCTTCACCATCCTTGTGCGCTGGAGCTTTCTTGGCAGGGCCCTTCGAACCTTCTTCTTCCGGAGCCTTTCTGACAACCAGCTTCTTGAGTGGTGCTTTGGCGAGCCCAGGGCCCAATTTGAGGGGTGTTGCTTTGCCCTCTTCACCGGATTTAGCTGGTGCCTTTTTCTTGACGATAGGTTTGACTGGAGCTTTATAATCCTCCTCTCGTTCCGGGGACTTCTTGGTTGGCTTCTTTCCTGCTGCAGCTTCACCTTCTTTCTTTTCCAACGGCGTCTTGCCCAGTGGTGAAGTCTTTGCTTTGGAACCTTCCTTTGGTCTCATTGGCATGTACCCATCTTCTTTGTCCTTCTTGGCTCCAGGCTTGCCGTCCTTTGCACCGGCTGTTTTTCCTTTCTCGCTGTCGACAAAATTAGATTTATAGGGAGAGACAATAGAGCGTTGCTTACCCAGGTTTCTTGTGCTCCTCCTCGGCATCACTCTCAGGTTCATCTTCTTCCTGTTGTGAACAGTTATCTAAGTGTCAAGGGTGTGGCAGGTAGCAGAAGATGTACCTCGGCATCGCTCTCGACTTCCTCATATTCGGCTTCGGAATGCTCTTCACCATCCTCATGTTCCCATTCCTCGGTGCCATCGACATGATCAACTTCCTCGCCATCCTCCTATGGTAAAGCGTTAGCCAATCCTCTGATATAAAGCAATCCCTGGCATAGCCACTGTGCTATTTTCCGTTCTCAAATAAAAGCTTGATCCTGGAATTCTTTTCGGATTTGTCTGACATTGAGGGTAGATTGATGTTAGAGAATAGGAACACTTACTTCCTCCTCTCCCTCTTCTTCTTCTCCTGAAGCCTCTACGTCCTCTTCTTCATTTTCGCTACCCTCAACTTCCTCCTCCTATTTTGAGAACGTGGTTAGTTATTTGGCAGATATTAGGCAATTCCAAAAACAGTGCATTGATACTGCTTCATGTTTCTATACCTGATGCTTGATTATTCAGGTCCAAAGAGCGCCCGAATTCAAGATCAACAGGCCCACATATACGCTCAGAAAACGTCCGAGGCAAGTATTGCCCCTGACTCATGGCTGCAAAAGACAAAGTGAACTGAAAGTCTTGTTAAAACATACCTCTTCTTCTTCACCCCCTTCCTCCTATTTGGTTGTTAGATTGTTTCAGGAGAAGGCTAATTGATGGATTTACTTACCTCTTCACCTTCAGACGCTTCTACTTCCTTTTAAGCAAGTCAGCAGCTTCATTCCTTTGATATGCTTTTGAAGCTTTGAATGCAATCAAATACTGTCTTGAAATCCAGTACGTACTTCTTCTGAGCCCTCAGCTTCCTAGTAAACTGTAAGTATTTTGATCTTTTGCCATTGAGCTCGAGCTCAAGATTCAGGAAACAAACCTCTTCCTTGCCGCTTTCTTCTACTTCCTCCTTTAAAACAGATAGCTTCATTATCTCAGATTACTAGCAACGGTTACGACGCACCTCTTCATCTTCCTCCTTTCAAACGTTAGCACGGTTTTATTGTTATGATAGCCGTTAAGACTTACCTCTCCCTCTTCCTCGGGTTCTGAAGCCTCTTCATGCGTCGCAGGCTTAGGATGCCCAGCCTTCTTTAGGACTGCTTTCTTTGGGACTGCTTTGGGTGCCATATTGCCTTGTGATTACTGAACTTCTTTGAGAGATTCGAAAGTGAAAATAAAGCTTTAAATCACAAGTTAGGAAATGAAGTTAGTGATGAAGTTATTGCTGGCTAAATTAATGAGTGCTTGGCAACTTATATGTACTTATGCCAGAAGACTCAATATGTGGTCTTTCCTATTACGATCCAGTCCGTCAGCTTCGCCCGCTCGGGGGCAATATTTTCAGATGTGTCAGCGACTAGTAGTTTGAGCTGAAAGGTGACTTCAATTTTTAAGACCAGGAAAGTAAGCCTCGGCCTTCCTGATACTATTCATACCATGCATTACACCATCCTTTGATATCTGACTCTGATATTAGCTATGAATTGCCACGCATATAGGCCGGGACGGGGAGGGCATTTGAGTTTCATGCATCTCAAATGCCACTTTCAATTCTGAGCAATGCTGACTGCATACGCCATGAGCTAACTAATCACGCCGACCAATGACTTACGCCTCAGAACCTACCAGAGATAAACGTAATCAATGTCAGCTTGTCTTACCTGTCCTACATTCTTATATAAGCGCTACAATAGCCCTATACGGCGATTAACAACCTCGCGGTGGCAAGGGAACGAATAAACACCATTTACCCCTAGCATATCTTCAGCATTTGGTCCGCCTGATATCCACCGCTACCGGTTGAGAAAAGGACTACTGCAGCATTTAGCCTTTGGGACTCATCCCGAAAGAAGAACCTCTTATTTGACCCAGGCGTCCAAAATTAGACAGGGAAGGACTGCTGTGCTTATACGATGTAATTTCCAGCCATGCAGTTGAGGGGCAAACTGGGGTAGTCAGTGATAAGACGTAGATTCCCTTTAATCAACCCATTTCTCTCAAGCTATTCATTTTCAAGTTCTTAATTTGTATGCATCCACTGATTAAGTACTTAATAAACATATTACTATCACTCTCTGGAATCACAGTATCACAAGTATGAGCAACTATCCTCCACCTACCCAAACGATGCAGCCCATCGTGGGACCACCTCCTCAGCCATACAATGCCCAATATTCAGCCGTTCCACAGAAGCTCGAGCAACCCCAGCAACTCGAAACAGAGAAGATGGTACTTCATGGGCAGCTTGAGAGCTTGAAGACGAAAGTCAAAACGCTTCGAATGTTCTCTCGAGCGATCTCCACTGCCCTCAACATGGTCCTGTTTGCATTCATGGCCTTCGTAATCGCGACATTCTACGCAACTCGAAACGATACAGCCCTCGGCCGAACCATCTGGCCCGAAGTCAATCCCAAAGTCTGGCCGACAATCATGCTGCTAGCATCGTCTCTCATCACCTTCCTCATGTCACTGTCCGTCCTGTGCTTCTACTGCTTTTGCTTCAAACGAGCAAGCGAGAGCTGGAAGCTCGTCGTCGCTACATATGTGATCCACATTGGTGTTTGGCTTGTTGTGACGATACTTTATAGACAGCAGAAGGCGCTTAATGATATCTGGGGGTGGTCTTGTACGCAGATCGCGACAAAATTGCAAGATGAAGGACACTCAAGAGTCAACTTCCAGCAGTTGTGTAAAATTCAGGTAGGTTTGTCTGCTAGGCTTATGGGCTCGATCTTGTGTTAATAGTTAATAGAGCGTATCGTGGGTTCTATCCATCATTGAAACGAGTCTGAAGATAGTGTTTGGAATAGGATACTTTTTCTTCTACCGCAAGGTTAGAGAAGTGAGTGCGAAGAGGACTCTGGCAAACACCATGGGAGAAGGAGCGGAGGGGCTTCTGAATGCAATTTTCTGAAGAGGACTCCATTGATGAAGTTTATCATAACTACTATAAATGTGCTGGGAATAATAAAATGACTGTATGGAATAAAAGGAGTTGGGCATATTAGTCGTGGGCGATGAGGAACTTAGTAATAATGAAAAGGCATTATCTCACATTTGAATATCTTGATTCTTTCTCTATTCAGCTATGATACTATCCTTCATGGCATGCAGCGTCTAGAGCCATCTTTAGATCTTCAGCGTACAAACTGCTAAACGGAAGACTTTACAAGCTGATTCAAGGAGTAATATGATTTCGTCATTTTAATATCAATGAATTACGCATTAAACTAGGTAACGACTGTGAGAATTATTCTAGCACCTTGAGTTCTGTACAAACCGTTAACTTTTGGATCATCTTGATAAGGCCGAGTGCGGCTTTGCCCCTCATGCTCCTAACACTTGACGGAGGGCCCATTCTTCAATCCGTCTCACTGGAGCAAGACCTCACTGCTAGACATCCTCTCCAACCACCTAAACGGTCAAACCGTCTACCGAGTTGAGTTATCACACGACAAGAAATTCAAATTAAGAAGCTGTGGCATTGAAAGCCATGAGAAGTAGATTTAAGCTCATATTAGTGTGTGAGAGGTACATAAGCGTCGGGGTTTAGCGTCGGGTACATGGATCTTGGTAGCTTATACCCCAGCCATCTGAACTCCTCTAATCTGACAATGATTTCCACATCCAGGTCAAGAACTCTTTGCACAGCCGCAATAGCATGGTGATATTCGGCGGCAAACGTGATAATTCAGCCATGCTGAATGGCCGACACGGCTCAAGAGCGCAATGTCGGCCGCCACCATGCCGACTTTGATATTGTACCTAGGGTAAGCTGGCCAATGCACAAAGCGTGCATCAGGACACTGTGAGAAAGAACATCGGTAATACCGTGAATAGGCTATCACTAGATATATTCATCGGTGGCAGGTGATGAATAATCTAGGGATAGTACAGTCAGATTCGTTGGACAAGGAGGGTTGCTGAAGCTTTCTCAGCCCCTCACTACGAGGAATTCCAGACCGTTTTGGCCTCCGAGGAATTTAAATTTAGCATTAAGATAGAGAGGTGACCGGGACTCATATTTATCTCATCTTTCGCTCCGAAAAACTAATTTCAACAAAAACATACAACCTCTCTCATATTCCAAAATCTCAAAGTAAAGACAAAATGGAAGACGGCACTAGATCTGCACCAGCCACTGGCTTTCAGAAGTTCTTACTTGATCCCAAGTCGTCTGTCAAGACTTATCTCTCTGAGATTCAAGAGAAAGACAAGCACAACTGGCAGCAAAATGGTGGCATGCCAAATCAGCAAGGCAACTGGCAACAGCAACAGCATCAACAACAACAATATGGAAATAATGGACAACAGGGTTACCCAGGCCAAGGTGGTAACTTGAACCTTCCTGGCAGCGGATACCCTGATAGACCAGCCTCCGCTGCGGCAAACCACCCATTCCAGCCTCAACAGCCTCCATCGCACACACCAGCTCCCCAACAGTTCGGAGGCCCTCCTCGGAGTAACAGCTTCCCCATCTCTCCACCAGTCTCGCACGCCAACTTCGCACCCCCACCACACGTGCCTACTCCAGTCCATCCTGAACAACAACTCTCGTCACAGTTCGCGCAACACCCACAGCAAATCCCACAACATCCCCTGCAAGCACCAGCACCGCAACATGACCAGCCATACGGAGCACCTCAATCAGCATACTACACTCCCGAGCCGACCCACGCTCAGAACCAATCCGTCAGCAGCGTACTTATAACCTCAGGCTCAACCGAAGTCACATCAGAATCAGCCAGCCGATCCGGCCTCGCGCCCCCAGGCCATGAGCACCACGACGCTATCGTCCCGGCCCCAAAACAATACCATCGAATGATCGTCGAGTTCGAGACCATCAAAGCCGTTTACTTCGCTGCCAAGATCCGTAAGTCTTTTCTTTTCTCTTTTTTCCTTTCCTTCATTCTTTCACCGAGGCGGAAACATACATAACAGCGGATTCTAAGTGCTAATTAAACGCAACGTAGAACCCACGCACGGCGACCTAATCCCCATCGCCTCCAAGCTCAAGACGCTCGCCCACGAGATCTGGAATCTGCGCTACACAAAATCATCCGTTTTCACGTTCCCCGACGCAGCGCACGAGCAGATCATCACGAACTGGAAAGCTGCATTTGATCTCTGGACGCACGTGCTCGAAGACCTATACGACCCCGTCTATCTGAAGAGCGTGGAGACTGCGGAAGGCCAAGAAGACTGGGGCAAGCTTGCAGGCTTGACGAATGCTGCGGCGCCTGTGAAAACGCACGCGAAGAAGGTGGCTACTAAGGCCAAGGCGGTTGCTGCAGCAGTGGAGGAGGAAGAAGCAGCTGTTGTTACGCCTGTGAAGAAGAAGGTTGTTAGGAAGGTCGCTGCTGCTGTTGAGGGAGAGACGGAGGGTGCAGCGAAGAAGACTGTGGTTAAGAGGAAGGTTGTCAAGAAGGTCGTCGCAGCTGAAGAGTAGAGATGAAATGAAATGAAATGAAATGAAATGGCGGGTATGCAATAGAAAGAGTTCGGTGTATTTTGTATGTTGGTGTACTGTCTGTCATTGCTATATAATTTAGGCCGGAATTAAATTCATTGCATGAATTAGAGTACGCACAGCTAGATGTCTCAGCGCAACCCAACTGGGACATTATTCTCGCTTTGAAAGTATGTTGGTGCAAGAATCGCATATCATAAGTCCTCGCAGCTAGATTTGCCCCCGCAACACATTGTGTTTGTAAGTCTTTTTTGTAAAGATCGGAAACATCGTAAATGACGGAAACAATCAAGATATACCAGAAAGAAAAGGACGAAATACTATTATTCCTACTTAGGAACTGCTCCCTTGGCTAAAAAATATAACGGTGGAATTAGCTTGGTTCTAGTTGAGAATGTTTCAGGTGAAGCGCAATTGTGAATTTCCGATTAAAAATGTTGCTAACGAGCTAATATTGTAATACCAGAAACGCCCCGGTCCACTCGTTCGCCAATGTTGAGCAAAACGTGCCCCAACATTTAAAATATGATCAAGCATTCTTCCACGCAGCAACCAGCTGGACTGAGAAGACCGGCTTAACCCCACTGATTGCTGCCAAATACGCCTCCAACTCGTCGTCTTGATCGATCGGCAACGTCATCTCCTGGCCGTTTGGTTGTTTGATAACCCCTTCAATTCTTAACGCTAGCGTACCAGGCGTCCTGACAGTAGCCAACTGCCTCAACTCATCCACAGAAACCGAGCTGAGCGTGCTGACCCAGAGGCGAGAATTGGATTGGATCTCAGATGCGGGATGCAGGCGGAAATAGACGGCGATGGATGATTGTGATGGGGCAAATGCAGCCTGGGCCGCTTGAGCGACGTATTGCTGATCGGCATATTGTTGGGCTGGATACTGGTTCTGCATGCTACGGTTCAGTAGAGAAGGATCGTTTGCGGCGGCTAATAGGAGGGAAGGGTCGATTTGCATGTCGTTGTGGTCTACCATGACCTGGTTATGTGTTTGAGGTTGAGGTTGTCGCGCCTGGGCTTGAGCATGGTTCAATCCAGTCTGCGCGCGACTTGGAGCTCGAGTTTGTGCTTGAACTGGAGTCTGGGCTTGTGCTTGAGATGCTACCTGGGCAAGAGCATCATGGGAACTGGTTTGGAACCCGCTTGTCTCTGGTGCGTCGTCAAATTGCAGTGCGTCTGGCGCAGTGTAGTTCGAGTCAAACTTCTTTTTTCGGGTCGGATCACGCTTGGTCTGGTCATCTCGAAGACGCTTCATGACGTCTCTGCAGAGAACCTCCATAGCCTTGACTTTCTCATTGTGCTGAGGATCCGCTTCCCCAGGTGCGAGTATGTTTTGCAATAGGTCAGAACCGTTGATCCATTGTTGCTTCAGCTCTTTCCAGTGCTCCTCTCCCGCCTCAAGCTTGCTCGTGAAGTGGTCGCCCTTCAAAACTTGATAAAACGCATTTCGTAGTTGTCGAGACTCCTCGGGGTTGATACCAAGAGCGTTCTTAGCTTCTGCAATTGTCATGCGGCGTTCCAGAGTTCGCATCCTCTTTGTGACATCACTGCAGACCACATCTAATGCCAGTTTCTTTGCCTCCTGATTGTCCTCGTTGCCCCAGAAAACGGTTTGTAGATGTGAACTTTCTTGTACAAGTCTGTCCTTCGCAGCCTCCCATCTCTCTGGACCCGCCAGTGTCTTCTTTATGATGCCTGCCTCCTCGCAAATTCGTTGGAATCGTGAGCGGATATCCCGATACAGGCGATTGTCAAGACTCAGGAATGCTTTGCTTTCATCAATCGTCGTCTCGGAGGGGAATCGAGGAGGCCCAGGAGGATCTGCTGGAAGTCCTGCCCAGCCACGAGTTCTACGGCGACGCTTTCGAGTAGCCCATCGCTCGGCTGATTCAGCCTGAAGTTTTGCAAGTCGTTCTTGTCTCTTAGCCATGACCTCTGGGCTCAGAGGGGGCGAGGTTCCTCTCGTACGCTTTGGAGCTGCGGGCATATCTATCTCCTCCATCTCTTCATCCTCGCCCTCTGCATCCACCATCTGTGCTTCGCCATATAGAGCTGCCTGGAGCTGACTGACAACATCCTGGTCCGAATCACGCTTCTTGCTCTTCATGCCATTTGGAACCCTCAACAGCCATCGATTCTTAGCCCGGACCCGCATCAGCTCCCGCTCTTTGATGTCAAATCCCTCCTCGTTGAGCATGCGTAGCATCTCTCGCTGGGATGTATTGCAATCCCATAGTTCCTTGACGCGCTGGACGAGGGCGGCATTTTTATGGGCGGGATTCTGCTTGGAAGGGAAATCCCAGCGCTTGAATTGGGTTTGGAAGGCACGTTTGCTAGGGGTAGAGAGTAGTGTTAGTACGGACGACGTTAGGTATAGATGCATTGCATCCAGTACGGTGAAGTACGTCTACGTCTGGCGGTTGACATACCTTGGGGCGAACTTGTGCTCATCTTTCATATATTCCATGATGTCCTCCAACGACTTTTTCTCCTCGATATACATGCGATAGCATATCTCCTCCTTGTTCTCCCAATCGTAGACCATCGTGTCGGATGGCGCAAATGCGACTTTCTCAATCGGTCCACGCGGCGAGAAGAATGTCCTCACTGTACTCGATATGGGACAATGTGGTGCGTTGAGGTTGCCAGAGTCTTTGCGCCGACGACATTTGCCGGCTGCCGTTGAATTTGAGGTTGGGGTGGGGCTGAGGCCGATACACGTGACGTTAGCACGTGATATATATTATGGGATCAATTCATTATGGAACAGGAAAGATGTGATAGCTGTATAGTATGCCTTTCTACAGTAAAGGCTACGCCTTTTAGATGTTTGGTATAGTGACATTTATTTGTGGGTGTTCTGGGTCATTTAGGTGGACTAGGTAAGGTATAGGTAGTGTCCGTATGTCTCTTGGAAAGTCCTACGACTGAATACGCGACCTGTTTTCAGGCATTCTCAAAGCTGTGAACGTAGTATTCACAGTTGGACTATATCACCATACCTAGTTTATATCTAGAATGCCAAGCGTGGAGTCAAAGTTGACCTCTACTTATTCTCTAGTAGTAGCTCTAATTCTGGCAAGAGAAGCTTGTTATAAGCTGCCCCGAAGTACGACTTGAAACATGCGGATAGACTAGGAAGAACCCTAAAAAACGGATAGCAGATATTCTTTGGGTAGGTACTTACAGCTCTGAATGCTTTGACTTGTGGGTGATTCAGAGGTTTGCGTGAGGGGAAGGGTCCTCAGGGGTCTCTGGAGCTCGGCTCGGCCCCTGAGCTTAAAATCGACTAGTCTCTTGGCATTGACTCCCGTTGATCCACTTCGAGCAACAGCATAGCATGGCTTCCTCACATTCTTCACCAAGCTCGTCGCAATTCAGTACTTATACCCCGGATCCTCCCCCTGCTCTTCCTCCTCAGCCGGGTCGAATTGAGAGTGTTCCACTTCCTGTAGAGCATCAACCAGATTCTGGCTTCAGCCACTTCCTACACCGCAAAAGACCAACCCATATCTCTCTCCAAGACTGGGAGCACCATGTTACCCCGCCATACCACGACTACATCCACCAGCTCGTGGCAGCAGGATGGACAAATCTACAAGATTTAGACAATTACATGACTACGAACGCTACTCGGAAAGGTCTAGTAGTGTCGGTCCTAGATTTATTTGATTCCAAGCGGAAAGAATGGCCGGATATCTACAGCGAGCTGGATCTGAAGAACTTCATGAGCCATACCAGCCGAAAGGATGCGAAAGTGCGGTTTTATATGGCTGAGTACCAGGGTATTCCTTCTCCAGCCTTGATTGAAACTCTGGGGAGCTCTTTGAACCTGGATCCGCGATTCTTCCAATGGATTATCCATAGCAGAGGGCACATCTTCACGCCTTCGCAGAGGCATAATGCCCCATATCAAGCTCTTGGGTTTGGGGTCTTGAGGGAGACTACGCCGTCCATGACAGATGCCGAGAAGTTCAAGGTCATGGCATATATTCAGGTACGTGATTTGAGAATGTCGCATACTTTTAGCCACATTTAACCATCACCCGTTACTAATTTATAACCTGACAGCCTGATGAAACCGGCATAGGATGGACAGGAATCGTCCTTTTCAGCTCTTGCACCAAACACAACATATCAAGCCGAGTCCTCCAACCTCCCCCATCCTTCCAATCTCCGCGCCCCGCGTCTACAACACTCAAACCAAAATCGATCCGCCAATTGTACCTAGAATCTTTCGAATACCTCGATCTCGCACAAGCAGCCGCCTCCCCTTTTTACGCCACATCTAATCTCTTCCGCATCAACTGTTTCTGCTGGAACCAAATAATAACTGCTATCCGCGAGCAGGACCGGCTGATCAATGGCATATCAGACACGTCAATTGGGCATGTAGAGGAGATTAAGAGATCTTTGGCTATTGTGCAGAGAGGTGGGAGTTTTATTTGGGCTGGGAAAGACGAGAAAGCTACAAAGGAGAGCAAAGAGGCTTTGCAAGAGGATTTTCAACATCTAGTTGAACAAACCGATCTACTTTGGCAGACAAGAAGTAAACTTGCTAAGATGCGGCAGAGCAGGTCGGAGGCTCGATGGACTGCTTTGACGAATGCGTTTACCTATCTGTACGTTGCTCATGTATTTGCTTCCTTGGTACACAAGCTGATAAGCCCAGATTTGCACCCATTACAATAATTTCCGGGATCTACGGTATGAATGTATCTGAGATATCCGGCTCAGATACGAATCCGAATATTTGGCAATTCTTCGTTGCTGTGTTCGTGTTCAACCTTTTGATGGTAGCGGCGTTGTCTATCTATAACTTCATACAGATTCATATGAAGCATGGGAGGGTTGCTGGAGTGAAGGAGGTTCTGTCTTTCGCAGTTGGGAGGACGAATCTAAATCGCCCCAAAGCTGAGAAATAACCTCATGATACCTTATTTCTCCAACTCCAAAGACTAATGTCACGCAAAGAAGATTGGCCATTATTACCATAATAAGTCAAATGTGAATCAACAGGATCTTGGAAAAAGCCTGGATTGAGATTAATAATAGGTCGAAACACCTTGAAATCAAATTATTTATTGGGCAAGCACCTTCTCATAAACCCTCATAGTATGCTCCCAAACCTTCCTCTGCGTTCCGTCTTCTGTATACGTTGACAAGACTGACGGAGCGCCAGCATCTTCGGCATTCGCCATTGTGGATTCACAGGAAGCTACTTAGGTAGGTATTCCGTGAAAGGCAGCTGGTGTATTGCATGTATGTATCGTGTGTATGGTAATTCGAGTCTGCTCACGTGATACCTAGAAATGACTGCAAGAACTATATTGAAAACAATGAATCCAAATGCACCAGAACATTGTTTTACCCGTTTTTGCATTGCTGATAGACATGAGAAGATACCTTTTGGTCCCGTGAAGTTGTCAATCCTGCGCCACACCAACCCCTGAGTAAGGTATCACTCACTCGCTAAATGCCCCCTTTCCCCTTTCCCTCCCCATCAACTACTCGTAAGGACCTGGTAGATTTCAACACCCCAAACCAATTAGTAAAGTTTTGTATCACCCTTCAAGTACAAAAATCTCATTGCTCTTCTGAACGATCCAAGGTTGTGATATACTGGATAAGCTGATAGAATTTGGTGGGAGCCTGCTCTGCCGCCAAGAGGGAGAGGGGTTATCCGAGGCTTCCATGTAGTCCGTCACGTGCACCTTAAATGACGACGCACCTCAATAACGACGACCTCCCCTGCCTCCCTTTCTGCATATCTGGAACGCAAAGATTTGCCTTTTTCTTTGCCGGCTATACAATAATCCAACCTCCCCCCACCTTCCATCGAGATGTCGTTAAAAACAGCATACCTCGAGGCTCGGATGACCCAGAAGCCACCTTTTTCCGTTGAGGTGGCTGGTTATTCGCAGGTGCCTGGTGAAACTATCCCACGTCGCAATATCCGTTCTCCAGACAAACTTGTGTCGGAACCCGAAGAAGGCATCTCTACCGTTTTTGAAGTGGTGAAATGCAGCGCTGAAAGATTTGGATCTCTCAAAGCTGTGGCTTCACGGAAGCTGATCAAGAAGCACCATGAAGTGAAAAAGGTCAAGAAACTCATCGATGGCAGGGTGCAGGAAGTCGATAAGCAGTGGCTCTATTTTGAGATGAGTGGGTATAGCTATATGAGCTTCAAGGAGTATGAGACTTTGACGTTGCAGCTTGGGGCTGGGCTGCGAAAGCTGGGGCTCAAGACGCAGGATCGAGTGCATTTATATGCGGCAACTAGGTAAGTCAAACAATTCAGGCGTGATACTATACCCAGCTTTCTGATTCCAAGTCCAACAGTGCGCACTGGCTGTCTCTTGCCCATGGTGCCATGTCACAGTCAATGGCCATCGTGACAGCTTACGATACCCTTGGTGAAGAAGGCCTTCGAACCTCGCTCGTAGCAACTAGAGCTAAGGCCATCTTCTTGGAGCCACACCTGCTCAAAATCTTCATCAATACCTTAAACGACGCCAAAGAGATTGATTACATAATCTACAATACAGATGCCGAACATGAGATTGACCCCGCAGATTTGGAAACACTGAAAAAGTCCTTCGGTCACCTGACTATTCTGAGCTGGGACGATTTGAGAGAATTGGGAGAAACCAATTTGGTGGATCCTGTGCCCCCGAAGAAAGATGATCTGGCCTGCATCATGTATACTTCCGGTTCAGGTGGGCCTCCAAAGGGTGTGGAGTTGACTCACAAGAATGTCGTGGCTGCTGGTATTTACCCCACTCAGTCGAAAGCTTATGAAAAACTGACAACCTCGCAGTCGCGGGAGCAACCAGCTCAGTCGGTGACTATCTAGGCCCAGGTGATTCTCTACTAGCCTACCTACCGCTGGCACACATCTTTGAATTCGTTTTCGAGAATTCCTGTCTCTACTGGGGCGGAACAATGGGCTACGGCTCACCCCGCACACTCTCAGAAGCCAATATGCGGAACTGTAAAGGCGACATCCAGGAATTCAAACCTACGCTTTTGGTGGGTATCCCGGCTGTATACGAGACGGTGAAAAAGGGAGTTATTGCCAATATTGAAAAAGGAGGGCCAGTTCTGAAGACATTATTCTGGAGCGCGTATTATGCCAAGCAGTACGTTTCATGCTCTTCCAGCGCAATTACCTGCTAATCCGTATAGATTTCTCATGCAAAATAACCTCCCTGGCTCAGGGATTTTGGATGCCGTAGTATTCAACAAAGTGAAAGCCGCCACAGGGGGACGCCTACGTTTCTGTATGAGCGGTGCTGCGGTAAGATAACTGTGTCTCATTCACTCTTACGTAGCATGATCCAAGAACAAGTCCACAGCCGTTCTAGGATCTTCGATTCATCTTCCCCGAAGTAAACGCTAATCCGTTCTGTGTAGCCTATCGCGCGAGGCACGCAAGAGTTTATCTCCTTGGCCATTGCACCCATGATCAATGGATACGGTATGACAGAGACATCAGCGTGAGTCAATACCCCTCGATTGCATTTGGAACAAGATATTCCCATAACCAGTCTCCCATATCACTATCTCTGACACGCATACAGGATGGGTGCTCTATGCAATCCCGGTCACTGGACCCTCGACGCCCACGGCGACATAGAAACTTGCATCGAAGTAAAGCTCGTCGATTACCCCAACGCAGGCTACTATTCCACCAATACCCCCAAACCACAAGGCGAGATCTGGGTGCGCGGCGAGAGTATCACGAAGGGGTATTACGAGAATCCCAAGTTAACAGCAGAAACCATCACTCCCGATGGCTGGTTCCAGACGGGGGATATAGGAGAATGGGATGCGAATGGCCATCTGAAGGTTATCGACCGGAAGAAGAATTTGGTCAAGACGTTGAACGGGGAGTATATTGCTTTAGAGAAGGTTCGTCCTCGACCCCTCCTACGGCACAAGCTAATCACCTGCCTATGAAGCTGGAATCAATATACCGCTCCGCCACCACAGTAGCAAACATCTGCATCTACGCTTCCACTGGGGAAACCCACCCCATCGCCATCATCGTCCCCGCGGAACCCGCGCTCAAAGCCCTCGCCACCTCGATCGGTGTCTCTGGCCACGGCATCGGCGACCTAGTCCACGACCCGAAAATACAAGCAGAAGTACTGAAACAGTTGCAAACTGTAGGCCGCAAAGCGGGCTTAGCTAGTATCGAAATAATTGCCGGCGTCGTGTTGGCGGACGAGGAGTGGACCCCGCATAATGGACTTGTTACTGCGACGAGTAAGTTGAATCGGAAGTTGTTGGTTGACACGTATAAGCAGGGGATTGAGGAGGCGTATAAGAAGGCGAAGAAATGATGGAGGGTGGGGGATGAGAGAGGGATGTTTGTACGGTATGGTATTGTGCCGTTGGTTCTAGGGCAGGCATCAAGTATCGTCGAGCTAGCGGTGATCGAACGGTACCACTCTTGCTAGGATTCCACCTAGGACGTTATGCTCTATCTTTAAAGCATCTACATTAACTATCACTTCTGTGGCATATAATCTGTTTGTAAAGTAATAATCATGGCATTTATTCATTATCTTGCCATCTTCCAGATTTTCCGCTCTCCATACAGTATCATAATCACCTAGCTCTTTACCAAGTCTGGCCCACAGCAGCATCAGGCCTGACTTTGCAATATAGCTTTTGTCCCTCTTGTCAATCTAACCGTACCTCGGATGCTTCCTGCTCTCGTCCACATCAACATCCTCAACTTGGACTTTATGCTTAGAGCCTGCATCCGCGAAATCCTGCTGAGTCTGAGTCCGTTCTTCGTCGCTAAGCCACCGAGCCTTGCGTCTAACAAAACGAATATCGCTCATTTCATACGTGTCAACAATATAACTGTTTATGACCACCTGAAACTTCTCCAGCGACCCATGGTACAGTATCTGCTCGATGAAATCGACATGTGTGATATCGATGCCCCAGCCTAGACATTGCTCACACGTCACCTCACTACCCCAATCGTCCTCAAACTCCCAGTCTTCCCACAGATACCTGCTAACGGCCATCCACCTCAGTTTCTCGCGAACATTCGTCTGCAGGGGAAAGATAGGCGGGAGGACATCCGCGCCGTTACAACGATAGCTGTTCGTATCCAGGAAGATGGAGTCCGTGTCAAAGTTGAACAAGCAGGCCTGTGTAATATCGTGCGCGAGTCGAATAAGTGTATATGTGCCAATGGCCCTTTGCGTCTCCGCCCGAGCCTCCTGACACACATGCAGGTTCGCAAGCGTCGTGATGCCGTTTTCGATCTTCCATTTTCCCCTAGCTAGAAAGTCGTTGGCGTAACAGTAAATAGGGCGATAGGATATCTGTAGGTCTGAAACATCGTAGTTGATATGCAATACTTGGGGATCGGGGATGGCGAAGTGCCAGATCTTGTAGCGAAGCTCGGTTGGGAGTTCTGGAAACTTGGTGAAGGTAGTGGATTTGTTGGCCATCGTTGGCTGTGGTGGAGTTTTGGAGGCGGCTGTTGGTGCTGCGATGATGCTGAATGGGGCTTGAGATTTTGGACACTCAAATGTGATTTCATCTAAAGCCAAACGTGCCATTTGAGTTTGGAGATTGAAAATCTCTTCATTAATTGAAGTGTGTGCTTCTGTCGAGCTGAAGGACGGTTTGGAATCGAAGTTTATAACATCTGATTCTGAGGAAGGGGACATATTTCCTGATAATCCTGTGCTTTTCAAATTTGGCTGAAGGCTGAAGTGGGCTATGAGAACGTGTTGGTATCCGGACTAGGTTTCAGCCGCTACCAGTGCCCTACGAATCGTAGCAAGATTGTGACGAGGCTAGTGTTGTAAAAAGGAAGAGCTGAACTTGTAATTACGGTCAGTATGCAATGTGGTTTTGGAAAATAATAGTAATATAGCAATCTACTTACTGAATCAAAACTGCAATCAACCTGGCCAAGTTGACGATTGCGGATCAAGTTTCCTATCCAAAGCTGTGATTATGCGAAATATAAATGATAATTTGTAGACGTTAATATATGAAAAAGTGCGCAGTAGAATAGATAGAGAAAGAACCCTGAAACCAACAGAATGCAATGATGTAAGTGTATAGAAAGTGCGAAACGCTAAGAGGATTGGCCTGACCACCTACGATTCCGGCAAGGAACGGATCCATTCGCACGCTTGGTTTTCTCCTCTGCTTCAATACAAATGAAATATAATTCGTGACCCACTAGCCATTTCAGATTACCAGCAGCGTCTGAAAGACAAAATTGGTGCAGCATTAGCGAACAATCCAGGCGCCGATGAATCGATTCATCATCACCTTTATACGAAGAGTTAGAGCAATCATAAAACAACTGAATTTAAAATGTTATGGCAATGTTTGAAAGGAGAAAATTACTTTCTTTTGCACTATACTGGGAATTTGACCAAAAAATTCGATTATGCTCGCAAAACTATTGATAAACCTTGAAAATTCGGATACGCCTTGTCTAGAGCTTAGGGTATTGCCGTGGACAGAACACCAGCATTGAAATATAATGTTCTAGGCGGAGAGGGACATTGAAGTGAATGAAAAAAAGTGCGACTTTTCTGTCTACGGCGAAGGGGGGAGCCTGACGATTAGCCTACGTCCGCGCTTTCGCCCTAGGAGTGACAGTCCAGTCTTTAGGCTCGAATTCTAGCAGTCTATCCTTCCTCGCTATTTCAGGGTCAACATAGACTTTAACACCGACGCTGCCCGATTCAAGGCCATATACACGGAAAAGCACATAGAGTTGCTTTTTTGGACTGAGATCTTGCGGACTGCCCGCCGACAAGTCTTGCATCTGTACGGAGTATCATTGTTAGCATGTAAACTGTAGTGAGCAGAGTAATAGACGGGAATTCTGACTCGTTTATACTGCTCTTTACTTAGATGGAACGGGGTCTCTAGATTATATGATGTGGTGGTTTTAACTTCCATGAAGTAATCCGGCTTCTCCCCGATCCAGGTTTCATCTAGATATCCCTTTTTGATGAGCATCGTTGTGAAAATCCCAGATTCATCACTGTAGAAAATGTCTGTCTCTGGGCCTTCCCAACTCGTCAAAAGCGAGTAATCTGGATGGACTTTCACGTAGCGCCTGACGCAACTCTGCCAGTTCGTGTAGTCGAAATTAGGTAGGCTTGGTTGCATGCGAGACAGAACCTCGAACATCTATAGGACGATGAGTTGGAGTAGAATAATCATCAGTGCACAGGACTCACAAAGAGTTCTCCAGCGGCGCCAACCATTCGTCGCCACTCGGCATTATCGCCATGGTAGAATCTGAATGACGTTTGACTCCCCGGTCTCGGTTGGATTGTCTGAAGTATTGCGGGCATATCAAAAATTGTGACTTGGTCTGGGAAGGACGTGCTTCGTGCTACCTTGACCACTTGAATGAGCAGTGCTCGATATTGTTCATTCCGAGCAGGCTGGAAATGCGAAGGCGGAGACCCAAGCTGGTTTCCAAAGCCATATGGTGAAGCTCCCCTGTTTGCACGTCGCTCGGGAGATGGGTTTAGTGATATAGAGTTACTGCGTTCGATCCTCGGCTTCGAGCCTTGGAACATGAGTTCATCATCATTTTCATTACCTCTATCGTTTCCGTGTGTCGAAAACTTCAGCTGGGTGATCCCGTTTGATTCGAGAATTCGGCGTGTGCTACTCGGCTTTGCATGGATGACGCTTGCCACGATGCTGACTACTTCGGGATTGACGATTGAAGATTTGCATTTCAACAGGTAAGCAGCCAATTCACGAGGCAATTTCGATGAAATACAAAAGTCTTGAGCATCTTCATCGGCAGGAACGTAGATCTCAAGCCCAGCGTTATCTGTCTGAATATGAAGCTCGCTGCTGCCAATGGGCATGATCGTCGTTTCGCCGTCTTGGGTAATTATTAAAGTCGATGTGATAGCTTTTGTAGTGAACACCTTGGTCTTTTGAAGGGTGGAATACAAAGTCTCTGTCCCACCGAGAATCAAAGGACTCTCAAAGTGTGTTGCAATACTATCATATTGTGTCAGTGCATCTAAAGCCCGTTAGGATTAAAAGTTTTACCTCACGAACACGCCAGCTTTACGAGTAAGGTTTCGTATTAGATGGGTATTCTCTATACAAAGCTCGTCATCGACAACTGTTTGTTCAAGTACTGATCGAGACAAGTACCTGTCTGTGAGACCAGCCCACTCAATCAGCGGCTTCAGTTGTCGGACTTCGTCGAGGGTAAAGTCTAGGAGTTTTATTTTACTTCCAAGTGCTTCTGCATAATGCTGGCGATCAATGATCCCGAAGTCATCTAGTGCACTTAGAAGCTTTGTATGTCCGTCCGGCATCTTTACGGGGAAAATAGGACTGGAAGCGATCTTATCCGCAAAGGCAGGCCTTTCCCCGGATTCGAGCGGCAGGACGGCCTTGAACGACCATAGTAAGCTCTTAACACCATCGATTGTCGCGTTGCTACTGTCAATTTGGATAAGCTCCTGGTAAATCAAAGCGAAACTTAGCTTTGGTACTCCGAGATTGTCCACGAATAGTGCAGTGAGGTCCGGATACAAAGGTTCAAGGCAAGCCTTGCCTGCTATGTCTTTCTCGCTGGACCAAACACATTCAGAGACTTTGAACCATCGTTTGGGTTGATCTGACGGCGCGTAAATCAATTGAGCCTCTGCAAAGACCGCTCTGAGTAGATATTAGGAGGGTACTATGACTGAGTGGGACACTATGAGTGTCTTAGCGGAGCGATAAACCTACTTGATAGACCCCAAGCCTAGCTCTTCTGCTCTTTTCATTAGTCTATCTAACCTTTGATATAACTCGCGGATAAAGACCAAATCCGGAGAGCCAGCCGAACTTTCTTCGTAACGTTCTGATAGAGCACCAAGCTCCGCCAATATGTCGTCATGAGCAACATCACGGATTAGCAAAGTATGATGGAAGAACTGTGCTAGAGATTCCTGGTCCTGAGAATCCAAGGTATTCAAAACTGGCTCCCAGATATGTTTGAGCGGTTTCGACAAGGACATAGCAGCTGGCGCATCCCAGAGGCATTTACTTGGGGATGCCCAGTCTGCATCTTTGGGATTATTAGCATCTGGGTTGTTGGGATGTATAGGCGGACACAAAATGCCTCTGTTGGACACGAAAAACTTCCTGAGAAATGTAAGCAGAGAGACTGAATCCAGGCCAAAATACAAGAGCCACAGCTATGAGACTTACCTGACCTTTTCCTGTGCGTCCTTTCTATCTTCGGATGCAAGGCATTGTGCATGAATACGCAGATAGAGCTCAAGAACGGTCTGGGTGACTGAATCCTTAGTCTTCGATT